GGCGAGTGATACTGCATGAGGCAGTCGACGCCGGTAGGGGACGGGAAGGCAAGGAATAGGCGAGTAACAGGATGCCCGTAAGGTATGGATCTATGTATGGGATGATGTTCACCTCCTGTCTAGGTATGTATATATTTCCAAGTATCCGTATGCATGTATACTTTGAATCGCTAAGGTATGGGACGTATCCGTACATAGTACTCCGTATGTACGTAGGTATGCACCCCAGCTGCAAATGCAGGCCAGAAGCGAAGCATCTCAAAGCAAGATGGCCTGCATCGATGACCTCTTGCAACGAGGAAATCATAACCGGTGACGATAGCGACAGAGGGGAGAGACTGCGATAAGGAGTCTGGGTTTTAGCCATTCAAGACCGTTTACCACCCACCATCCGATGTCTTGTCCACACAGCCTAACCAACTTACCAACAACCGAACATGAGCACACACATGGAAGTATGCCGTACGTGTGTAAAGTGCGCAGCTGAGGATCAAGGAAAGGAAACGCGGCGCGCCACTGGGGCGAGCGGAGATGCAGCGTCGCGAAATGTCGTGGTTGTCGCTCGCATCGTGGCAGGCTGGGCTTGCCCTTCCAAGTTCCCAGGATCAAATGGAACTGAACAAAAGTGGCAGTGATGGAGTGAGTAAACGGGGCATCCAAGATCCAGAGCTTCTCGCCTGGCACGCCTGGGCCGCTCGAGAGTCAGGAATGGGCTAGCGCAAGATCCCTGGGCGTGGGAAGTTGGCCTCTAAAAAGTGGGGGGTTCCAACGCTGCCAATGCGCCACAATGGAAAATGCGTCAGGCAAGATGCGCCCACCTCTGCCTGCCTCTGCCTGCTGCTTGACTTGCTGCTTCCTGCTTCACCTCAACTTGCAAGAGCGTTCTGGTCAGTGGTCAATTGGAAAGAGCACTGGAGACCGGAGTGGGAAAACTGGAGGCAGGACCCAAATCCAATGGAAGCTTCCTGAGCCTGCGGCTGCAAGTGCTCCCTCATCCTAGCACATACACCCCGGAACTTCATGATGCCCACGTCCACATTCACGCATCGCCGCAGCACCGCAACTGGGTACGCACCGGGGCCAGTCCGCTCTGCGAAATGACACAATCAAAAAAAGGCCCGGGGGAGCTCCATGTCTGTGTCGACATTCGTTTGCTACCCTGAAAGCCGATCCATCGTCCAGCCTAGACGTTTTAACGCCAAACTACCTCCCTAGCACGAGTACGTAGACCGCCCGAGTCTTTGCAGGTCTTTTGCAAGACTCCCGTCGCATCAACTTACCAACTACTAATTGCCTTTGGTGCAGTTAGGCGTGTTTTGCTATCAAAACAACAAAGGGCAAGGGGGGAAAAGGGATACATATTGCCGAGTCTCCGAATCAAAAACCCCCAGTATCCGTGTCCATACCATATCGGCATACTCTGTAATACACTGCACATGCATGCTAATAACATGTCAGTTAAGCCACGTTTCTGCAAAGGCACGCACATACACGAGAAAAGTAAAGACCGACGACGACGACGACATCAGACGAAAAACGGGCGAGACATGCAACCGCATGACTTTGTTAGGACGAAAAAGAAGGAGACCCCGACACACAAGCGCCAAACACTCCGAAGACCCGACGCACTCAGACACCCGTCCCCGTCCCGCTCTGTCAGACAAGAGACAATCGACCGCCAGACACACAGGTACAGGTGCCTGCGTCTGCCTCTCGTGCCTCTGCATCCACGACTGTATTTGCGGCTTCCTCCCCGACGTCGTCCGGATCAACATCCGTAGCCTCCTTCTTCTCCCAGTATCCTGTATGGTCACCTCTACAACAACCGGCAGGCTATGTAATTACACTCGGCAGCCAAAGGGCGAGAATGAGAAGGGGATCGAACAAAAAGACGTACCAAGCAGACCCAAGAGTTGCCGAAGCTGCCATGCAATGCGAGGTCCAATTTCAAAAATTCGACCTGGCAGATAGGCTGCATCCGCGGCCGCGCATCGTCACTTGACATGCGTGACACACGATGCTTGGATACTGACTGGCCTGGGCGGCTGGGCCCTTGTCATGGGTCGATTCGCGGTTCTCCTCCGTTGCTTTCCAAAATTGAATCACAACGCCTCACTTGGCATCCTCAGTTCAAGACAGTCACAAAACCAACGCGACATGTCTCTCCACCGCTAGCCTGAAAACTAGCACAGTTCGCAGGAGAAACAGGGCGAGTCGGTCAGCAACCAGTGAAGCAAACCTCACCTCGAGAGCCCCAGAGTCGCAACAGTGAAGCTTGAGTTGCATCCTCCAGCTCCAAGAATTCAAGCCCCCCACAGGATCAGCAGCACACCTCGAGCCATTCCCTCGCTTGATTGGCCTACGGGGGCCGTCACCGCCATTGGCATCCCACACACACGGATGCACAGATGGCACCTGTTCTGGCCCAGGGTGCGACGCTGCATTTGGGGGACACCGCCGGGATTTTGCTCTCGACGGCCCCTGCTTCCACACCATTGTCGTTTCTACTCCATGCTACTCCTCCAGTCCTTTTTTCTTCTTGTGGTGGCAATCCCGCCTTCAAAGAACGGGAAGGGAGTGCTTCCCGTTTGCGCTGTTTTGGTTCCCGAGAGCGATCAGAGGCACAGCTACTTGAGTTGAAGTTGAGGCAGGCGCACAAAACATTTGGCTCAAGAACATAGTACGCGTGACAAGACTCAACGATACCTTCACACAGCTCGCACTTACACAAGGTTGCCGAAATCCTTCTGGAGAGAATGAGATGGTTGGTGTGCTTCTCATCAACTCGTCCAAGCCATGCACGGAATCTCAGCGGACGCCCGTCATGCCAGGTTACATTGAGACCAACACGGCCATCGGCGATTTATGTCGATTCAGATCTCGAATAGATATTGCAGGGTAGAGGTCGCCATACCCAGGCCAGCATCGTGAACTCTATGCGTTCCACCAATTGACCACACCGCAGCGCAAATCTGCAGGCCCGGCAACAGCAAATTTCGCAAATTCCCTCGCATTGTACAAGCCTCACGAGTCAAGCCTCCACCTTGCCGGCCTGTGTTCTTGCTCCCATTTTTTGGCTCCTTTCGACCTCTTAAATCCCAACTGGCTTAGCCAAGCATTCATGCTCCAGGCTCTTCCGAGACTAGTAAGCTGTCCTGCTTACAGCTACTGCGTAGTAAGTTGTCCTGCTTATTCGTACAGCTAGTAAGCTGTCCTGCTTACAGGGGAGCCGCCCTGTCAGATGATGGGCTGGGTGAGATCCGTGGGGTCCATTAGAAGCGTCCAATGGAATGTCATCTTCCGTCACTTGACCTGCCTACTCACGCTACAACACTCAGTTGCCGTTTATTTCAACTACTTAGTGAGAATATCACATTCCGATCAACCAGTATAAGACAAAAGTATGGCACGTGCAAGTACGTCAAGTCATCCGCATTGTTCGTTCCTTAATCCAAGGTGCCGAGAGTTTCTCCAAAGATGCTCCAAAAATGGTATTTGATGAGGGGCTGGACTCGAATTGGCGCCGTGTAAAACGCAAAGCATGGGTTTAAACACCACCGTGTTATTTTTTTTTTTTTTTGTCGCGACGGCTTATTTACTCATTGAGGCGAGATACATATGCGTAACACTCTACCAGTGGCCATTGCCAATCTGGATTTTCTCATGCCCAATTTTCAAGCAAAGAACTAAGGTGTGATTACTCAGAGTGAAACTATGTGGTAAGCAAAGTATTTAGACATTGCGAGGTCTCGATGAATCCGAAGCATTTTCCAGTCCGGGGAGTGGGTTGTTGCCCCAGCTGCCCATACCTACCCCAAATCGAGAGGAATGCCCCGCCAAAAACTCAGCACCGGCATCGGCGATGGCCAGGTGAAAACAGGTGAGAGCTGTTCTCACCTTGGCCGGTGTGCGCAGGTCAAAATCGGATTTTCCACTCATATTTAGTACGTAGTAACATGGAAGTGATTACGCAATAAGCTTACAAGCCAGCACACACATCAATGCTTCAAAAGAGCCACGGCTACCAAACGCTTGTAAGCCCAAGGCCCTAGGTACGCCCTCGAACTAAATCACCACATCGATCGCAAGGTATCGATTTGCAAGGTTATTTGGGGGACATACTATTGCAAGTAGCCTGGTCCATTCCAATCGTGGACTCGGCCAATTTTGGAAGTGATTCACAAGCGGCCGGTCCACTCGTGGCCAGCCACCGTTTTCTCACAGCTTTAGGTTCTTCACCACTGGCCACTCAAGCTAGGTGAATTTGAGGTGAGGAAAGAAATTTCTGCAGGGACAAGACCGACAAAATTCTGCAACCTCAGCCATCCGGGCGGGCTGTTGGTGGCATTGGTGAATTTTGGTGTTGGTGACGCGGGGCTAATTCCCCCGCCCTATGGCTAGAAGCGGCAATGACCCAAACCTACCGCCATTTTCTGCCACTTTCTGCCCACTTGGTAGATAGCGCTAGACCTTTGATAACTGACCGCCTGCGATTTCGGTGAAGCACAAGCCGTAATTTTTCAGTTGCAGATCTGTGTCAACGTAGCCGGGACTCCACCGTCCAGGGATTTTGCCTGTATCATTGGTCAATCCACTCTTAAATTCCTCCCCCAGCGAGGGAAGGCCCTGAGCATGGAGGAGGGGGGTAACCAGATGAATTTTTTTTTTCTCACTGTCAGAGCAAGGTAAAAGTCTTTGGGTCCTGCTGTTTGGCTCTTCTCTTCTTCCTTCTCTCTTTTTCCTTTTTTCTTTCTCCGACAATGGTTGTCTAGAAACTCGCATAACTTCCCGAAGATCTATCGTGGCAGATGATCGCTGGGGAGCTCCAGAACCAACCTACGAGACTCTTTTGACGAGCTCGCTGCTGTCACTTTCTCTAGCACTTCTTTCTTTCACATCGTTGTTGCTTTAGACCCTCTTCCCTCCGAGAGTTTCTTCACCCGTCAATTTTCTCTGTGCCCCGCATCACCCAGAAGAAACTCCTCCTTCCACAACCGAAAATGTCGCCCACCGTCTACCCCCCGGCTGCGGCCCGCATTGTCGGCTCCGATGACGAGGGCCTCATGGCTCTGGAGCTGCCCGATGGCACCGTCTACCAGGGTTACAGCTTTGGTGCCCAGAAGAGCATCGCCGGAGAGCTCGTTTTCCAGACCGGAATGGTGGGGTATCCGGAGTCGGTAACAGACCCCTCGTACCGTGGCCAGATCCTGGTTATCACCTTCCCTCTGGTTGGCAACTATGGTGTTCCTTCGCGGGAGACCATTGACGAGCTCCTGGGCGACCTGCCCGCTCACTTCGAGTCGTCCCAGATTCACATCGCCGGTCTCGTCGCCCACTCCTACTCGGGCGAGGACTATTCCCACTTCTTGGCAGAGTCATCACTTGGCACCTGGCTCAAGGAGCAGGGCGTCCCCGCCATCTACGGCGTTGACACCAGACAACTCACAAAGTACCTGAGGTCACAGGGCAGCACCCTCGGCCGCTTGTTGTTGCAAAAGAAGAACCTGACCAACGGCACCGCCAACGGTCACGTCAATGGTGTCGCGTCCTTCTCCATTGAGGACTTCCAGGCCGTTGACTGGGTAAACCCCAACGAGAAGAACCTCGTAGCTGAGGGTGAGTTCTGCCAACAATTCTCTTGATTCGGCTTTTGCTTACTCTGCATTCTAGTATCAATCAAGGCTCCCAAGTTGTACAAGCCTCCTTCGAGCGTTGCCGTAAAGAAGCACCCCTCCGGCCGACCTATCCGCGTCCTGTGCTTGGACGTTGGTATGAAGTACAACCAGCTGAGGTGCTTCCTCAAGCGCGGTGTCGAAGTCCTGGTCTGCCCCTGGGACCACGACCTGGTCAAGCAGGCCGGCGAAGAGTACGATGGTCTCTTCCTCTCCAATGGTCCCGGTGACCCGGCCATGCTGGAAAAGACCGTCAAGAACATCCAGGCTGCCATGGACAAGACCAAGACTCCCGTCTTTGGTATTTGCCTGGGACACCAGCTGCTCGCCCGTGCCTCCGGTGCCAGCACCGAGAAGATGAAGTTCGGCAACAGAGGTCACAACATTCCCTGCACGAGCATGATCTCCGGAAAGTGCCACATCACCTCCCAGAACCACGGTTTCGCTGTCGACTCAAAGTCACTGACGGCCGACTGGAGGGAGCTCTTCGTCAATGCCAACGACGGCAGCAACGAGGGTATTGCCCATCTGTCCAAGCCTTACTTCAGTGTGCAGTTCCACCCCGAGAGCACACCCGGTCCTCGCGATACCGAGTACCTCTTTGATGTCTTCATTAGCACCATTGAGGAGTGCGCCGCCGACCCCAAGGCGCTCAACGCCCCGGTCAAGTTTCCCGGTGGCACCATCGAGGAGAACGAGCGTCTTCACCCCCGCGTCCACCCTCGCAAGGTCCTCATTCTGGGCAGTGGTGGTCTCAGCATTGGACAGGCCGGAGAGTTCGACTACTCTGGCTCCCAGGCCATCAAGGCTCTCAAGGAGGAGGGTATCTACACCGTTCTCATCAACCCCAACATTGCGACGATTCAGACCTCCAAGGGTCTTGCCGATAAGGTGTACTTCCTTCCCGTCAACGCAGAGTTCGTCCGCAAGGTCATCCAGTACGAGAGACCCGATGCCATTTACGTTACCTTTGGTGGACAGACTGCTCTGTCAGTCGGTATCCAGTTGAAGGACGAGTTCGAGGAGCTCGGTGTCCAGGTCCTTGGTACCCCCATTGATACCATCATCACCACCGAGGATCGTGAGCTCTTTGCTCGCAGCATGGACTCCATTGGCGAGAAGTGCGCCAAGTCTGCTTCTGCAAGCAACATTGACGAGGCCATGTCTTGTGTCAAGGACATTGGCTTCCCCGTCATTGTCAGAGCCGCCTACGCTCTTGGAGGTCTCGGCAGTGGTTTCGCCAACAATGAGGCCGAGCTCATGGATCTCTGCAACAAGGCCTTCGCCGCCAGTCCCCAAGTGCTTATCGAGCGCAGTATGAAGGGCTGGAAGGAGATCGAGTACGAGGTCGTTCGTGATGCTCAGGATAACTGTATCACTGTGTGCAACATGGAGAACTTCGATCCCCTTGGTATTCACACCGGTGATTCCATTGTTGTCGCTCCCTCCCAGACCTTGTCTGATGAGGACTACAACATGCTCCGCACTACCGCTGTCAACGTCATTCGCCACTTGGGCGTCGTCGGAGAGTGCAACATTCAGTATGCCCTGAACCCCTTCTCTAGGGAGTACTGCATTATCGAAGTCAACGCCAGATTGTCGAGATCCTCTGCCCTTGCTTCTAAGGCTACCGGATACCCCTTGGCTTTCATCGCCGCCAAGCTTGGTCTTGGTATTCCCCTGAAGGACATTGCCAACAGCGTCACCAAGTCCACCTGCGCCTGCTTCGAGCCTTCCCTGGATTACGTTGTTGTCAAGATGCCCCGCTGGGACTTGAAGAAGTTCACCCGCGTCTCCACTCAGCTTGGTTCCTCCATGAAGAGTGTTGGTGAAGTCATGAGCATCGGCAGGAGCTTTGAGGAAGCCATCCAGAAGGCAATTCGTGCCATCGATTTCCACAACCTGGGCTTTAACGAGACCGAGGCTTTGATGTCTATCGATGACGAGCTACAGACTCCTTCCGACCAGCGTCTGTTCGCCATTGCCAACGCTATGCACTCTGGCTATACCGTCGACAAGATCTGGGAGCTTACCAAGATCGACAAGTGGTTCCTGAACAAGCTCAAGGGCTTGAGCGACTTCGCCAAGAACATGACCAACTACACCACCAGCGACATCTCCAAGTCCCCTGCAATTCTCCTTCAGGCCAAGAGACTCGGTTTCTCTGATCGTCAGCTCGCCAAGTTCTGGAGCTCCAACGAGATCGCCGTGCGGTCTCTGAGACAGGAGGCCAGCATCATGCCGTTTGTCAAGCAAATCGATACCGTTGCTGCTGAGTTCCCTGCTCACACCAACTACCTCTACCTGACCTACAATGCGACCGAGAGTGATGTGTCCTTTGATGACCACGGCATCATGGTCTTGGGATCTGGTGTCTACCGCATTGGCTCTTCCGTCGAGTTCGATTGGTGCTCTGTTCGCGCTATCCGCACCTTGCGCCAGGATGGCTTCAAGACTATTATGGTCAACTACAACCCGGAGACTGTCAGTACCGACTACGACGAGGCCGACAAGCTCTACTTCGAGAACATCAGCTTGGAGTCCATCCTTGATATCTACCAGCTGGAAGGCGCTGGTGGTGTCCTCGGTGCTATGGGTGGACAGACCCCCAACAACATTGCTCTGCCGCTCCACCGCGCTGGCATCAAAATTCTTGGTACCTCTCCTGAGATGATTGATAACGCCGAGAACCGCTACAAGTTCTCTCGTATGCTGGACACCATTGGTGTTGATCAGCCCACCTGGAAGGAGTTGACCAGCTTCGACGAGGCCAAGAAGTTCTGCAACGCCGTCTCCTACCCCGTGTTGGTGCGACCTTCTTACGTCCTCTCGGGTGCTGCGATGAACACTGTCTACTCCGAGCAGGATCTCGAGAACTACTTGGCCCAGGCTGCTGAGGTTTCCCGCGAGCACCCTGTCGTTATTACCAAGTACATTGAGAACGCCAAGGAAATCGAGATGGATGCTGTTGCCAAGGACGGTGTTGTCATTGGCCACTTCATCTCTGAGCACGTCGAGAATGCCGGTGTTCACTCTGGTGACGCCACTCTCATCCTGCCCCCTCAGGACTTGGAGCCCGAGACCATTGCCAGAATCGAGGAGGCAACTCGCAAGATTGGTGCTGCTCTGAACGTCACTGGCCCTTTCAACATTCAGTTCATCGCCAAGGACAACGACATCAAGGTCATCGAGTGCAACGTCCGTGCTTCTCGATCGTTCCCCTTCGTTTCCAAGGTCATGGGTGTCGACATGATTGAGATGGCCACCAAGGCCATCACTGGCAAGCCATTCGAGGCCTACCCTGCTACCGATATCGCCCCCAACTGCGTCGGTGTCAAGGTTCCCCAGTTCAGTTTCTCCCGTCTTTCCGGCGCAGACCCCGTCTTGGGTGTCGAGATGGCTTCCACCGGTGAAGTTGCTTGCTTCGGTGTCGACAAGTACGAAGCCTACCTCAAGGCTTTGATGTCCACCGGATTCAAGATCCCCAAGGCCAACATCCTTCTGTCCATCGGTTCTTACAAGGACAAGAAGGAGATGCTGCCCGCCATCGACAAGCTTGCCCGCCTCGGCTACAAGCTGTTCGCTACCGCCGGTACTGCCGACTTCCTCCAGGAGCACAACATTCCCGTTCAGTACCTGGAAGTCCTTGCCAACGAGCAGGAGGACCAGCGTTCCGAGTTCTCCCTTACGCAGCACTTGGCCAAGAATATGATTGATCTCTACATCAACTTGCCTTCCAACAACAAGTACCGCCGTCCCGCCAACTACATGAGTAAGGGTTACCAGACCAGACGTATGGCCGTCGACTACCAGGTTCCTCTGGTCACCAACGTCAAGAACGCCAAGATTCTCGTTGAGGCCATTGCCCGCCACTTCGGACTCGAGGTCGGCAGCCGCGACTTCCAGACCAGCCACCGCACCATCTCTCTGCCTGGCTTGATCAACGTCGCTGCCTTTGTACCTGGTATTGCTACTGCCGGAAGCAAGGATCTCAAGGCTGTTACCAAGGCCTCGCTCTCCGCCGGTTTCAGCATGGTCCGCATCATGCCTGTCGGCGTCGATGGCTCAATCACCGATGCTGTCAGCCTGAAGGTCGCCCAGCAGAGCAGCAAGCAGGGTGGATTCTGCGACTTCAACTTCTCCGTCACTGCCACCTCTGACAACTCTGACCGTATCAGCCACGTGACCGGTGAGGTCGGATCTCTCTTCATCCCCTTCAACCACCTGTCTGGAAACATCAGCAAGGTCGCTGCCGTGACTGCCCACTTTGACAAGTGGCCTGCGCACAAGCCCATTGTCACTGATGCCAAGCTCACCGACCTGGCTTCCATCCTGCTCCTGGCCAGCCTGCACAACCGGAGAATTCACGTCACCTCGGTCTCCACCAAGGACGATATCAAGCTCATTGCCCTTAGCAAGGCCAAGGGCTTGAAGGTCACCTGCGACGTGTCCATCTTCTCCCTGTACCTCTCGCAGGATGACTTCCCCGACTGTGCCCTGCTCCCCACCAAGGCCGACCAGAACGCTCTCTGGGCTCACCTAAGCACCATCGACGTCTTCTCCATTGGCAGCTTGCCTTACCAGCTTGCCAGCTCTCTGGGCAAGACCGCCGATCCTTCCGTTGGCATCGCCGACGCTCTGCCCCTGCTCCTCACTTCCGTTACTGAGGGCAAGCTGACCGTCGACGACATCAAGGCTCGTCTCTACGACAACCCCAAGGAGATCTTTGAGCTCCATGAACAGGTTGGAACCAGCGTCGAGGTTGAGATTGACCGTCCCTACGCTGTCCACAACACCAACGGCTGGTCTCCCTTCGCTGGCCGCACCATGCGCGGTTCGGTCCAGCGTGTGACCTTCCAGGACCAGACCGTCTGCCTGGATGGCGAGCTGCTGGCTCTGCCTGCTCTTGGCAAGGACATGTCCACTCACGGTGCTCTGCCCATGTCCCCTGCGATCAAGCCTCAGCTGCAGTCTTTGACCAACCCTGACAGCCCTCGTGACCGTCGCCCGTCGCTGTTCAACACCTCCAGGCCCACCAAGCTTCGTCCCACCGACGGCTACCTGCCCAACAAGAGCAACAGCGGCTTCGAGGACCTCGGTCTTCCCGCCCCTCTCCATCCCGCCGTTGGCTCCAAGCTTCAGGACCTCCTGTCGCAGCCCTCGTCGTGGAAGAGCCACAGCTGCCTGTCTGTTAGCCAGTACACCCGTGCTGACCTTCACCACCTCTTCACTGTGGCTCAGCAGATGCGCCTGGGCGTCCAGCGCGAGGGTGTCTTGAACGTTCTGCGGGGCCGGGTCCTGTGCACCTTGTTCTACGAGCCTTCGACCCGCACTTCTGCCTCCTTCGATGCCGCGATGCAGAGACTTGGCGGCCGCACCGTCGCCATTGCCACCTCTCAATCCTCGGTGCAGAAGGGCGAGTCTCTCCAGGACACTCTGCGCACCCTCGGTTGCTACGGTGACGCCGTTGTGCTCCGCCACCCTGACGAGCACAGCGTGGAGATTGCTAAGAGATACTCTCCCGTTCCCGTCATCAACGGAGGCAACGGCAGCAAGGAGCACCCTACTCAGGCCTTCCTTGATCTCTTCACCATTCGTGAGGAGCTCGGTACCGTCCAGGGTCTTACCATCACCTTCGTTGGTGACCTGCTCTACGGCCGCCCTGTCCACTCCCTGATCTACCTTCTCCGCGACTACGGTGTCCAGGTTCAGCTTGTCTCTCCCAAGGGACTTGCCCTGCCTACCGACGTGCGCAACTTCTTGGTCGAGTCTGGCCAGCTCCTTTGCGAGTCTGAGGAGCTTACTCCCGAGATCCTGGCCAAGAGCGACGTGCTCTACTGCACTCGCGTCCAGAAGGAGAGATTCCCGACGGTGGAGGACTACGAGAAGGTCAAGAACTCGTACCGCATTGACAACCGCACCCTCAAGTCGGCCAAGAGAGACATGTGCATCCTGCACCCTCTCCCGAGAAACGAGGAGATTGCGCCCGAGGTTGACACTGACCAGCGTGCGGCTTACTTCAGACAGGTAAGTCCCTTGACCCTTGAGGTTTGAACAGAATGCTGACAAGTTGCATAGATGAGATATGGTCTGTACTGCCGCATGGCTTTGCTTGCGTTGGTTATGGCACCATAGAGATGAAGTTTTCTTTTGGCTTTCTTTCCTAATTGTACGGGGAACTTGGACATGAGAACAAAAAATGCACACGTGCAAAAAAGTTTTTAGAACAGTTTGGTGTTTTGGGTTTTCGGGCTTTTTTCTTTTTTCATCGGGATGATAGTATAGACACACACACAAAGTAGGAAGCAACTATTCCTCAAAATTGGCGTATAAGAAAGCGCGCCGTCAAGACGTCCGTTGTTTGGCTCGCGCCATCACGACGTCGTGGTGTAAGAGGGATTACATGTTTTTATTTGGGTTTAGAGGTGTTTTGGGTAGTGCGTATAGTGCGTTGCGTTCGCTACGTTTGTTGCGTACGTTGCGTATCTTGCGTACCTGGATGACGTTTGTTTACGATATGATACCCCCTACCCGTCGTATGTACGGAATGAAATACGTTTGTTTGGTCTGTTGCGTTATGTGTGTGTCTTGCGTGTATGTGTGTTTTGTGTGTATTCTATTGTTATTTGTGACGTCTCTCAATGTGTAGTCATCAAGTGGTCCGATCGGAAGACTGATGTGCTGGGCTGATCCCTGCTCCGTATTTGAGCTCCGCAATGTGGGTGTTCTGCGCGCTGCGCGGCTGCGCCTACCTACATACAATCCGATGTCTGGGTGTTTGAGTGTCTACGTTGTAGGTGTGTGGGCAGGGGAGAAGAACGGGTGGAACATTCTGCGGCTGTCCACCCTTAGCAACGTGCTCCGAGAATGTGGGGCGTTTTTTGCAGCTTGCGGTGCCCCTCACTCCAAATGCAAGCATCATGAGAGGGAAAGTTACCAAGTCATGACATGACACTGCAACCGCTTTTTTTAGAGGCGTAAATCACCTCACCCTTTACACGCTGGTCTACACACATCAAACACACCGCATCAACTTACTCTCGACATTTTACGTACCTAAGCGCGAACTTCCAAGCTGCAATTGATCTGGACGTCGATCCTAGCATTTCCTCGTGAGTCGCTTTTCATTGAGTCACGAAACAATCAACTTTCTTCTGCCCGTGTTCTCCATCAGCTGATGAAAGTTGGGTAATGAGGAAGTTCTGGTAAACAAGACCACTTACTCACTAGCCAAGGTGAACATTTGACCTCTCGCATATGAGGCCCGGCTTCGCTTACAGATTCTCGAGATCGCTCAAGATGGCTCTACACCCGCCTCCCGAGAGCGAGAAGCTCATCTGTAAGTTCTCACCACTGCCCTTTCGATCTGCGTAGCATGGCATCCCCGGGTGAAGAGGCACGACGAGAGTGAAAAGGCCGGATCACCGGATCACTGGATGATGAAGACGCCGGGAAAGAACGGCCCTCATCTCACTCTCATGCTCCCCTCCCATCTCACCTCACCAACCCCCTCACCACAAACCCCCACAGAACACCAAAACTAACATCGCAGTCGCACCCGCCGGCTCCTCCCAAAACACCCGCGCAGACCAATTCACCCTCGGCCGCCTCTCCCTCCCCTCCCTGCACCCAACCTCGCCAACCCACCAATTCAACACCTGGTTCACGGCAGCCCAACAAACCCACGCCGTCTCCCACCCGGAAACCGCGACCCTCTCCACCGCCTCCCTGCCGTCCGGCCGCGTCTCCGCCCGCATGGTCTACCTCAAAGAACTCGACGCCAAGGGCGGCTTCGTAGTCTACACCAACCTCGGCACCTCCCGCAAAGCAGCCGACCTCGCCTCCAACCCGCACGCGAGCCTGACGTTCTGGTGGGAGGCGCTGCAGAGGCAGGTCAGAGTTGAGGGCAGGGCGGAGAGGTTGACGAGGGAGGAGAGTCAGGTGTACTACGACACGCGCGTGCGCGGGAGCCGAATCGGGGCGTGGGCTTCGCGGCAGAGTCAGGTGCTGGAGCCGCAGGAAGGGGTGAGAGGCGAGGAGGGGGAGAAGGACGATGGGAGGGCGCAGCTGGAGGGGTGGGTGAAGGAGGTGGAGGAGCGGTTCGAGGGCCAGGAGACGATTCCGGTGCCCGAGTTTTGGGGCGGGTTGAGGATCGTACCGGACAGAATTGAGTTTTGGCAGGGGAGGGATAGTCGGCTTCATGACCGGTTTGTGTATGACAAGGTGGAGGGCGAGGAGGATAAGTGGACGATCAACAGGTTGAGCCCTTAGGCGGTGATGGTGTAGTTTCTAGGTTAGACATGTGAACTCTGGTTTTTGTTGTTAAGTCAAAATACCATCACTCATCATAAGGAATCACAGCGAGGGAACAATGTGTAAAAGTGAGAAAATTTGTCTTTCCTGGACTACATTACCAAATAGGGTATGATAAAAAGACGAACCATGGTTTCCAGCGTCGCGACCCTGATCCCAAACCCCCCAATCCGATACCGATGAAACCCCTTATCCACCATATACGCCAGCCCAGTTTGATCGCTCAAGAAAAATTACAAAATGCGTAACCCGTCAAGCCCTCGTCAAGGCCGAGGTTTTGGTATCCTAAAAACGTTCAAGCTTTGGAAAAAATGATGTCGCCCCCTCAGTATACAATAAGCCAGTGAGACTTATGCAAATGTGCGAAATATCCTCTCGGAATCCCACAAGGCATGCAAATCAACCATCATGACAATCAAACAAAAACGCTCGCTCGCTGATTGTCCCGTCGTCCCTTTTTGTTTTCCATCTTCGTTCCTCAAAACTCCTCGCCAACTGGAGACAGACCCATGTCGTTACCGGAAAAGGTCAGGGACATGTAATCCCCGCCAAAGGTCGTCTTTTCAAGAGCCGCACGCACTTCGTCACCAAACGACTCGACCTCAGACTTGGGCGTGTCGACGGGCGTCAGCTGCAGGCCCAGACCAATCACGGCCGTACCGATCGTCATGCTCTTGCTCTTGCTGTGTCCCATCTCGTGGGGTTGGACGGGGCGGGCCGAGTTGTAGTGCCGTGCGGCCAGCTGCATGTCAACCATAGTGTCGGCGAGCAGATCCTCATCGTCGACCAGGGGCTTGATGCGGTAGTTAAGGTTCTCGCAGATGCAGCGTTCCGTTACGTTGATCTGCTCGCACGACCAAGTGTCCTTGCCCCAATTTGACGAGTAGTATGACGTCGAGTCGTGGCAGTCGTCGGTGAATTTGGCGGCGATGATGAGGGCAGACAGGATGATGAGCTCGGGCTGGACCGAGTCGATGTGCAGCTGCTGCTGGCGGCGGCGATCGAGGAGAGGGCTGTGGCCAAGAGTGTGGCGTTTGTTGTAGGAAGAACCGTCGACGAGCAGGGGGCACTGCAAGCGCCAGCTCAGGGCGAACTTGGAGTTGAGAGAGTCGAGGATGCAGACGGCCAAGGCAATGGTCTCGAGCGGGAGGCCGGACCGGCTGAGCATGGCCTGGACCAGAGGCACCGACGGGGTCGTGAGGGAAGCTGACGTGGGAACGAGGTTGACGAGGTGGATGGCGGGGCCTGTAAGCGCGCGGAGGTTAGCATTACATTGCATATAATATATTGCATTTGGAGCATGCCCATCGAACGAACGAGCGTTGGAGCAAGACGGGGTAAAGTCTGTAAGGGTTGCCAAAGCTCTTTCCCCATCCGCCATCACGTAATTCGGGCTGCACGTACCAAGGAACTTTTCTTGCAGGATGTCGCCTTCTTCCAAGGCCGTTTTCGGGCTCTGGTGGGCGGAAGAATTCCTGGATGAAGGTGGCGGGGTGGGAAGGTTGGAGAGGGGTCGGTAGGTGAAGTAGGCGTCCTCGGCTCCGTATTCGTCGTCCGAGTAGTCGGTGTTCTGGACCTGTCTCGCCATGTTGCCCATCTTGTCGTTGTGTCTCGTGCTCACGGCTCTGACTATTGGGCCTGGTGGTAGTTGTTGGTATTGGAATGTGGGTGTATGCGAAGTGGTTCCTGTTTTATAACAGTAACAATAGCGGAACGAGTAGAAAATTATCTGTTGGTGGATCGTGTCGGTCGTGGGTGGTAAACGTCGTAAAAGCCAACTCTTCCTGTCCTCGGTCCTGAGCAGTAGGGGGTGCTGCTCATATTCGTATGCAGCTTGTAATCGGGTGTGTGATTAGGGCAGTAGCTCGTACTCGGTCGTAAGGGGATGATGTGATCACGCAACGTCGGGTTGGAGAGGTGAGTAGGAGAGCACTAGGAGAGAGGCTTGGATGAGGTGGGAGGTCGGGGCGGTATATGTAGTGAGGTAGGTGGATGATGGACGGGCGTGGTGGGATTGGATTTGGGATTGGGATTGGGATTGCCAGGTCCGAGTACATGCTCCGTACCTAGTAGCAATGGGTGTATCCGTACATCAGAAAGGGGCTTCGAACTTGGACACAGACACAGAGAGAAAGGATCCCAGATGCCGTTGCTGGTAAGTTATGCAGGGTTCATAAAGCGAAGTAAGGCTGAGTCGGGTTTGGGAAACGAGTCGCGAGCGGGAAGATGGACGGGCGGGCTGGGCTAGAGCCTGGGATTCTGGGATTCTGGCACTCTGTACGGGGTACTCTCTGTTTGAGAGAGAGAGGGTATTTCGGCGGTGGGCGTTGCACCAAGTGGGTTCCACAACAAGCACAAGTTGGAGACGAAGAAGAGGAAAGACATGGAAAGGACAATTGGGAACCTCTCATCGCCCATCGCTCATGCCATTACAGGCAGGTTGGGGTGGAGGCGTAGGTACTCCGTTCTGCGCCAGTAGTGCAGGATGGTCCGTGTTGATGCAATGCTGCGCTCTGTGTCCAAAGCCCCCCAGTGCCTCCCCCCTGTACTCTTCGGACGTACCTCGCATGTACCTTTTCTTTGGCAACTTTGGTTTTCTTTCACTCCTTCACTTTTAGCGCGCTGTCTGAGCGGGATCATCTGGCTTTGGCGTTCTCTCTCTGGTCTATCTTCTCTTGCTGTCTTTTGTTTCTACAGTCTAATCTTCGCACACCCCCTACAAGTCTCGATCCCCGGGAGCATTGCTTTCCGTACGATGGCAAGTATTAGCTAGCAAGTGGTGGTGGACGAAATAGGCGGTGCGGATAACCCGTAGGTGAGAACCGAAGACGACGTGGACGAGGGCCGAGAAGAGGGCACCAAGACAGGGGTGTAACGGCAACTTGGCAAGGGAAAACGAGAAGGAAACCCCGGCAATGGTCCTCTTTTCCCTCTCGGCTCTTTAGCGTATCTGCAAGAACGAGGGCAGGCCCGGCAGGGGGGGGGGGGCAGCAGCAATGTGGGCGAGGATCACTGAATGGAGTCGAGAAAAGAAGAAGAGAAGCGAGAAATTGGGAATGCGGGCACAAAACAAAGTGACAAAATGCGGGCAAAAATGGCCACTCATCACCACACGTATGGGTACTCTATACCTGATGGATGGGTCTGAATAGGTGCCCATTCTCTTGCATCTAGGTGCATGGTTTATCGACTACTATCGTCCGGTCATGGCAAACCAAACATGCGAGCCTTGGGCAGAAAGACTTCACATCATCGCTGAATTCCCATTTGGCATGGATTTGTTGTTAATGTTATCCATAAGAATCAGATGAACAGGGCCCAAACAAATCCCACTCTTACACAGGCACAGGTTGCCTTACCCAGCAGCGGTGATACCCAGGCATACCTGATCCATACGCAGTATCCGTAGACGCAGGATTAAAATTCAAAAAAATAAGAATCGTTTCAGTTACTCGCACTCAAATTACATCCCAACCACTCCGGTCGCCTTGTGTTGCCCATCCCACAAGATAATATGTGACGGTGGCTGACGCAACGAACGAGACAGGCATCCCGGCTTCGGGAATCTTGCGTCGATGGCTGGCAATTTTGTTTCCCTTTTGCCCATTGTAGACGAAACGCTCGCGTCAGTCCTGTGCAGTGAGCACCCTGGGCAGCAAAAAAGGCAGGCCCGCCGCCGCATGCCGCCGCAGTCAGTGGTGTTGATGATGGTGCTTGCTGGCTTATTCCCTGGCCTCAGATCATAACACGTCCAGCTATCCTTCCTGTCTTTCAGAATGCTAGTACAGGATGACGTTGGATGGGTGGACGGCAGTTGGCATCCCCTCATCAACCCATCCTGATGATGACAGTGCCAATGCTGCCATCCCGTCTCGGGCCTTGTTCATCCTGCCTCCGTCGTCTGAGTCTCAGATCATCCACCGAATCCCTCTCCTGGAGCTTGCAGCTGTCGACATTCAATCAGATGCCAAAGGAAGCCTCGATGAGTTGGTGTGGCAGCTCTTCAGTTCCCGTGTCTCGCGTCCCCTCACAAAAGTACACCCCCGTGCCTCATTGCCTATCCGAGAAAGGGATCGAATCGGGGAAAAGAAAAAGGGCAAGACAGGCAAGACAGGCTTGCTCAAGGGCCTCTGGGGCTCAAACAAGCGGTCCAGTTCTGTTTGACCATCACCGTGGCACATCCAGGAACGGCGGGCTTTTCGTCAGACGGATGGTCGATCAGATGGTGCCATTGTTCATCCATTGCATCCTGACTGGTGGTATTTTCCGATGGACCACATGGATACGAAAAGGCCAAGCAAACCTTGCTGCACTCCTCTACGGAGTCACGGAATACCTAAGGTAGGCAGGCTTCCCAAGGTGATCCCAAGGAGAATCTCTCGCACGAGTTGCCCTTTAGACATTGGTGGTGGTGGTGGTGTCGTGCGTGTTGCGCGTTCATGTTGCGAGTGTGTTGTTTTTCGAGAAGGGGGCAGGTTCCTGGATCTCATGGATGGCAACCAGGGACAGCCTGGCCATGTTGTTCTGGCTTGTCTGGTTCACCGTGACGACAACCCTCAGCGAGTGCTAATTTGGGTGTCAAAGGGTGTTCGTCCAGTGGGTTGTAGTGGGGATTGCAGGCCCGAAGGACCCGCTGGAAGCTGGGCTGAGCTGGTGACGGAGCGAGGCTGGGTACGTACACTACTGCTTGGGTCCCCTCACTGAGGGGCTCACAGTCAGTATCAGTGTCTCACTGAGTGAGGGCGAGGATCAACCGAAGCTGCCTCAGCTAACCACCTTGAATGCAATACCTGCCTCAGCGTACCTGCGCTGCCCATGGTGAGGCAAGGTGAGGTGAGGTGAGGTGGTGGAGGGAGGTACATCCAAAGGTACTTGGAGGTGAGAGGTGAGGTGAGAGGAGCAACGGTGGACTCACCAACCAGGCAAGTACCCGTCTCCGGTACTCCGTACCTGCCTCGTCGCACTTCGGGGACGCCTTTTGTGACCTGTCACTTTGCCAGATGGATCTCTTCCTCCTCAGCTTCTCCATTTTCCAACAAGACAACATCTGATGCGACTATCCGATTGTGTGGGTTCGAAACCTCTGCATGGAAAAGGCGGCAACTCTTCACCGCAGGCGGTCAGTCCCAACTCACCCAGAGTCTCTTCACACGACAGTCAAGAGTCAAGGGTAAAGGAGAGGCGTCCAAACAACCTATCGACTCGTTCATTTGCTTGTCCGATTCCAAGATTCCTTGCAAAGAAACAGTACGGATACGCTCATCAACAACCACGACCCTTCATATCGTGGTGGAACTCCCCGAGGTACCTCCAAAGTACATCTTGTCATCTCCACAAGCCCAAGGTCCAGTCTAACTGATCTCCCGTGGTGGAAGCCGCCCGTCTGTCCATTCGCCCAGACTGCTCACGAACTTCTCACGGTCTCACCTCAACCAACTTGCCACGAAGCCGCCAACCTCGATCTTTACGTGGATCGTGGCCAACATCACAGCAGTGTCGACGGTCGTGAACCCTTGAAGTCTGCTCCGTGGGTTTGCAGCACGCCGTGTTCGGCACGCTGGGACCCTTGGTCTCAGCGTAGCGTCTACGTATAGTGACGTGCTAATCCAGCCACAGCCACGGCCACGCCAAATGGCAGATGTTTTCCCTCCTTGAGGAAACATGCTTGGGCCCGATGGAAGACAAGCGACAGTTCAGCATTCCAGGGAGCAACGACTGACAAGGCCGCCTCGCCCGTCTCTTTGTTCTTTTCCAACTTTCCACCCCCACCTGGAGGCCGGCATTCTGGGGTAAAGACTTCGGTCCTTTGGTCCAACGAGGTAGACGCTACGAAGCGCGATTGCAACAGTCGTCGGGTCTTGAACCGCATCGCGCTACCAATACTGAACCTCAACTATTCCCGTTGCGGCTTCTTGTTCCTGTCATTCGGTCGATACCGATACTCTATGCCTCTCCCTCTTTGTTCTCTTATTTGACATCAACAGTCGAGACCTGCTTCCACGATCATGGCCAATCCCCACTGCATCGTGGTCTAGGCAAGCCCGACACGAACGGAAGGGATCGGCAAATGGCGAGTGCTCGATTGTTGCAACAGATCAAGCTCGTTCGAGTACGGCCGGTGCTGCAGCTCTGCATCTGCATCTGCATCGCATCGTGGTCGACTTTGGCCTCGGGCTGCGAATATCTCGATGATCCTTCCAGCCAACCAAACTTAAAAACCTCATCCCACACCTCATGCATCCGTACCTGACTTGGCTGCAACCGGCTTCGCGAGAATGCAACCACCATGCAGACACAAACCACACCGTCCCATCCATCTCACGCGCGCAACTGATGGGACGATGGATTACCTACACAAGAGCACCTGAACTTGACATGCATATGCCCCTACAGCACTGAGCAACCAAGACTCTAGGAGAACCACTGACATACAGCATATCCCGACCACCATCGTTTGGGGCCCCAGCCTTGCCTTGGAAACCTCTGCTAGCGCCAGAGATCAGAGACCAACCGCTGGTAGTTTGCATAACACTCTCCGCTCCGCGTCACTGCATAAACCCGCTCCCTGTTCGGCCCATCGACAATGCACCATACGTCAGATCATCCCCTATTTCCCACCCCAAGACTCCCAACACCTCGAGCTCGGACGGTCAGACTATGGACGAGCAAACGCACAGCCTTCCTCCAGAGACAGCTTTCCCCACAACACAATTCTGCTGCCTTGCTCCTGCGAGCGCAAGAATTCCTACCGTCAGTGCATTCGTGTCGCCATAGCAGTGGACGTGGCCGTCAGCCACGGCCGTATTGCGGATTGTCGTGTGTCAGAATGGGAAGCTCTGTTCATCCCGAAGCTCCTGCACTGCGAGGCAATTGATTCCCTGCCTCCCCACGTCACTCATCCATCGCTCAGGGTCCAAAATCGCCCATCTGCTTGCCTATGGCTCGGTTGCGTCTACGAGAGCCAAAGCTTTGCGGCACGGAGTACCTTGGAGCTCCGTTCTCTTTGTTTGAAAATATCCGCCACTATGATGCGAATCGGCACATGGAGCTTGGCATTAAGCGACGTTGGCCGCGAACGCTTCGCAGTTCAGAGTCTCGACCAGACGTCTGCTCGTTTCCGGGTGGGTTATCAAGTATCCAGGGTCCAGATCTTCCAAGGGTCGAAAAAAGGCGATGCCGTAGTCGTTCACTCCCACCTCCCATAACTCCGGGTCGATCTTAATCTCGCCGGCGTATGCCGTCTACGGGGTACTAGCAGAATCAGCGATTCCTATGAACCTTGCCCCAATTGACCAAGTTTCTCCCATACTTGGCTTTACAACCCACGACTAACATGACGTTTGGATGGGTGGAATTGTAGCGGTTGAGTCTGGATTCGCGGGAGTTGCCCTGAACCGCCGCATATGACCTTAACCCAACCTTCGTGCCTCCATCGCAGCACTCTTACCTGAGCCAGTGGCTTAACACAGGCGTAATGGCTTCGGTCAACAGACGCCCGACAGAAGCTTTGTCGCCGCAAGCGGCGCAAGCGGGATGCCACGCAGCCACGAGGGAGCTCTTAGCGGGTCATTAGGCGCGGCCATATCCATCAGAGCGTCTGACGGCCTCGCTGGCAATGCCAAATGGCCTGCCAAACGGCCGTCCCACGGGACGTCGTCCGAGCGCGCAACCAAACCTCAATGAGGTCTGCCCAGTCTTCCTTCGTCCACTCGTCGTCAAACCCTGGAGCAGCCAGCGAAGAAATCTCTGCCCGTGAGGGACGCAACACTTCCGCGGGCACCGCGATGTACGAAATCAGTCGTCTGCACCTACGAAGCTGATCGGCTCGCCAAAGATCCGCATCTAAAGTCTGTCATGCATGCACCCCGATATTCACCTGCAAGTTATGGTTTCCCTCGGCCCCATGCAACGCGTGCTTGTCCCGAAAATTTAGAGCTTTCCCCCGCCTCTTGCCTGCAGTCCCGTTCGTGCGGGCTGTGACTGTGAGAGGTAGTCCAATCACGTCCGCCTAGGTCCACCCCGACCGATCGGGCACGAACTGAGGATTCCGGCCCGGGGCCAAGTCACGGGCTCTACGTGTCCCCCGTGTGCGTGCGGCAGCATACTTCAGTTGGCTTTATCATAACGCCCAAGCCGAAAATTTGCAGAACGGAGTGGAAAAAATTGGAAACAAGGCCCTGCTTGGGAGGTTGGATAACACACGTTTGTCGTGTGAGCTCCTTGGTAGGCTTCGACAAGCTGCACATGTAGCGAGTGCATATGCTTACTGCAAGTCTGACCTGACGAGGCTTTTTTCTTTTCAGCTCCCAAAGCTGACAGCCTGACCTACAATTACAATTCCAGCAAATCTCACTCAGGGGATCTCAGACCTGCGCTGCGCCATCCCGTTGCAAAGATGTCAGCCTCACAAATGCGCCCACGAAATTTCGTTTCTGGCCCAACAGGAATGATTCCTGGTCACCTCTTCCCCTGACTTGGCAGACCTGCCACAAATGGCGACATCGCATCAGCAGTTTCGAGACAAGGTCCCCCTTCTGAGCTCTTCTGGGCCAAATTGCTTTCTTTTTCTTTCCTCTCGCTGTCGGATTTCGTATGCTCGTCTCCGCAACAAGGCTTGCCAAGATGCCAATGCATTTCGTATTCCGGCGGGTGGGAGGGGGAGGCAACCGTCTCCAGGAACGCCGAGCATTGGGAACATCCCTACAGATGATACCCGCCTTGTCTTGCAACACTCCCTTCGGTCCGGTTCTCCTAAGCAGGGCACGCGGGTAACGGGTTTTGGGGTTGTTTTATTCCCCACGTTCTTTTCCTCTCCCTGAGAAAATTCGTATGTTTCCACAAAAATGTCTTTTTATACCCGAAAGATCGACAGTCGCAAGGGAATTGTCAATGGAGGGGCGGGCGGGGGATTGATCTTCGGGCTCCCCGCCAAGATTTCCCGTGTTTAGGTGAGCGTTTTTCTTCTTTCCTTTTTTTTCTTTGGTTCCTGTATACTCCGTACGGGGTACCTCTCCACATACGCAGGTCGGCCAGTTCCGGGTCGCTGTCTCTACCTGAGTCCCTCGTGCAGGTTTACACCTGGGGGAGGGGAGGGGAGATGTCAGTGGTCGGAGTTGCGAAATTCTGGGGATGGGGGACGTGTTTGTATCTCCATTTGTCGGGGATATGTATGTGCGTGCTTTGTGGGAGTGTGGTACGAAATCAGATCATGTGCAAGGAGATTTAACAATAGGGTATCCGTAAAGGTTTGTGTTTGTATACGTGTACGGAAGTGACCACGTGCTCTTCCGGGGATGAACGTATACGTGAAATATGACGAAGTAACATAACCACCATCAGGCAGGTTCTTTACGTGACGGGATATACTTCTCCTGGAGGGTGGTTCGCTCGTTTTCTGGAAGCATGAATTGCTATCTTGGGCCAACGCGATGGAACTGTGCCCGTGGGATGAAGTGGGAAGTGGGGGGCTGATGCTGTGATGGTGTTCACGAGATGTTGACTGCGGCACACGTGCTACGCAAACAGTGAGTGATCTCATAGAGAGGAAATAATACGTGTAGCTTTCAATATCGTTCTTTACGACATATGATGTCGTGTACAAGCCGAGCGCTAGGCAATTTCGAAGATGAGTTGGATGATGATGTGTTGGCGGCAGAGTATGACTTTCCCAACGAATGTAGTTTGTGCTTGCTTGGGTGCTGATATCCACCGGCGATACTGAAAGGAATGAAGTCTCGTAAGCAACAGGTCAGGGTCGATATGAGAAACTTGGACTTTGGCGTTGCTGTATGTTTTACGTCCTCTCGTGCTTGGAATATGTTCCAACCTGGGACCTGGACCTCGTAAGCAGGCTGGATGTTTACGGTGTCCCATTCTCGTGCGGTATTGGTCAGTGAGCAATCGCTTGTTGAAATGAAGAGTCATCATATACTCTTTGCGTCTGGAATAGCTTATCTATTGTTGACTTGTAGAGCCGGCGTTGACGGAGTGATCGGGCAGTACCCTTGTTGAGCGTCAGTACAGCGAAGTACAGCGACTGCGAGATACTTGTCGGCGAGAGAGGGTGTTTGGTATTAACGAAACTCCTGTGATGCAGCTATGGTTGGGCTAACGAACAATGTTGGCCTGCTTTGAGACAGTCCTGATGGTGTAGTACGAGCAACGGATGGGGGGGCTGCCAAATTCTATTTCTCGTGGGATTCTGTATCAGGCTTGAATCGGGGGTATCGGACTCGCTAAACCCCTTGAATGATCTTGACTTGATCTCTTATTGGGTCCGCGCCATTGAATGCTGTATATTATTGCGACTGAGACGGTTAGACAGAACATTCGATGCTAGATATGAGTGAAGGGACTCATTTCGGGGTGTGGGGGCAGTCAGTCAACGACGAAGAATATCATGAAGGAAGGGAAGCAAGAGGTACTGTTTGGTCCGAGGTTCGGGGCAGATCTGTGCCTGTGATGGGAGAGCTAGTAGGGGGGGGGGGGGCCGTGAAACGTACCGTTTATATGGAATATAAAATGTAGGACTAGGCAGAGGTCTTTCTTGGCTTTATTGATCGCCGGTCTCGATGATTGAGAATTCAGATGAGAGACACCAGAGATTCTAGGCTGGAAATGTAAAAGCACCTGCTGGATCTTTGCGAGGATTCTGGTATACCTAGTGTGTATCAGAAGCCCACTCTTGAGCACTCGCGAGCACTCTTGCGCTTGACGGCTGTTACTTTTTCTTGAATATCAAAGTACTGCATGTACTGGCGACTGTGATGAGGCCTGTCAGTAGCTCGAATGCCGAATACAAACCCGAGTCTTACCTGCACCCCGTCTGAGTATCTCTTTCTGGAAATTTTGACTTTGGACTCGAGTTGAGAGGCCTAGAAGGGGGTTGATCAGAGAAGCTTCATCAAACTTTTGTATACGTTTGTCACTCGGCCCGTAGCCTCACTTGAGAGTGGTACACAGAGAAATGTTTTGGATGAAGATTCGTAAATTTGTCACGGTACCTATATCCATACATGCCATCTTGTCATCTTGATTCTAGTACCTGTATCGACCAGTCCCCCTTCAGTTTGCAGAATCAAGGAAAGTTCATGCGCCAGTCATTAAGAGAGAAAAGAAAAGCAGGTTGAAACACCGTGTCCCAAATGTGGCAATCCGTAGCCCAGTTCATAAATGCATTGCATCGCCTATTCCTGGAGGACAGACGTAGAGTGCTTATTTTGCAACGACGACGACTGCGGAAGAAGACCCCCTGGTTAGCACTCAAGATTTCAATAGTCCATATGCGAAGCCAAAAACGTACCAGAAGACTGCTGAACGACCTGGTTAATCTGCCCAACCAAGCCCTGGTCAATAAACTGTCCCAAGTTCACCTGCCCGACCCCGCCAATGAGCCCCAAGTTGAGGCCACCTAGATTCAGCTGCGCCAGGTTGACGTTGCCAAACACGCCCTGCTGCTGGATCGCCAGCACGGTGGACAGCTGCTGCAGCTGCAGCAGGGCGTTGAGGTCAAAGTTTTGGGCGGCGAACAGGTTCTGGAAGGCGGCGAGGTTGAGGTTGTTGACCTGGCCCAGCTGGCCGAGCCCCTGGAGGTTGAGGTTGTTGAGGGCGAGGAGGTAGTTTAGGTCGAGGTTGCGGAAGCCTTGGAGGTTGTTGAGGTTTGCGAGGTCGATGTTGTTCTTGTTGTTGTTGTTGTTGTTGCCGTTGCCCTGGCGGGGTTCCAGGGTGTCGGCGACGGGTGCCGCGGCGGCGAAGGCGGTAAGGGTGGAGAGGATGATGGTTGAGAAGCGCATTTTGGCTGATTGGTGGATTGGGGGGTTTGATTAAAAATGTATTATGTTTGAAGAGAGCACAGCTCTTGATTGTTCCTGTAAAGAGTGGTTTTGGTTTTGTTTGTAAACGACCTGAAAGGAGTGAAGAGAACAAAGAGCACAGCTGGTTGTTGGTTAGTATGGTATCCTGTTCATCTGGTCTTGAGATGAGACCCACCTCTGAAGAGAATGAATGAAGGGAATGAGTAAGATCGGACTGGATGAAGAGACTTGAATGCGTGTGGATGGAGAAGAAAGAAGAATATGTGATGTTCGCGGCGGGACGGGTGGCTTATATGTCGATGAGAGCAGAAGCCAAGATACTCGGAGCCAAGAGTGCTGTACGTAGACGTCTGAACTCTTCAGCAAGGCATAAGGCGTTTGGGCCATTGCCAAGTGCGAATTAAGGTACGATTTGCGCTCGGAAGAGTCGTGAACGAGTGATCCGATGCGTATCAGAGTCTCGATATCGCTGGTACGGAATAATGTTGGATCAAACGGGTTGACAGGGGGAGGGGGGGCCAACATTGAGACTAGGGGTCGTGAGGGGACGCGTAGAGCATGGAAGAGAGGACGTTTCTTCGGATGACGGAAGCGATGCCACCCTTGGCACGATCTAGCGACTTATGCTAGGATGATTGCGAGCTGAATGAAAGCGAGTTAAAGGACTACGGTAGGAAGGCAATATCACTATACACGTACACTTCAGCGTCTCTCGTGAGGCGTTTATCTCCAGATATAATCTTTGGAGATGGAAATTCATTTTTAAGCATAGACAGATTAGAAGAGATTCACTCGCAATCCCTTCGGTTGTGACGAGACCTAGTAATCAAAGTTTCTTGGGGAGGGAATATGGTGAGGAAACGAAGCAAGACAAGGCCATTGAGGCTCTTGTGGGCCAAGCAATGTAACGCAATGCCCAAATAACCTTACTTGGCGGGTCCTGCGGCTACTCGGCCGACGGCAAATGGTGACACGAAATTCTTCATCCCAGCCATCGCCAAGCCGGCACATGGCCCTTCCAGCCAGTTTCCTTCCCGCGGACTTTGTGTGAGAGAAGGGAGACAGGGGACGGGGGACGGAAACTGGAATAGACTCATGAGATCTACACATAGAACCGAGCCAAAAATCTGTTTCGTAGGGTCTGATGATGAGAAGCAGTGGTGGAAAAGGACTTGGTTTGATCACAGGTTTTGTGAGGGTGGTGTTGGGTATGTGCGACGACAATGCGGAGGGAAGTTGGAAGAAGAAGTGGAAAAGCAAGGGGCGGCGGTGTGGCGGCATTCAGTCAGACACTTGCGAGTTGGGACGATGCTGCGATGACAGGTGTGTCATCCGAAAAGACCTGCGTACCGAGCTGGAACAACTGGTATGCTCGGCCGGGTGATGAGAAGTCCGATGGGTCGTCCCAAGGCTGGGCCCGCTGGGGTCTCTGACAGCAGTCAAGACGGGATGAATGAAGTTGGTCTCGTTGCACTTGCGTCAGGATTTTCGGCTGTGCCTTAGGAGACTGCCGAGCCGGCTCGCCGGCGATGCGTTGGATCAGGGTGGCACTGATCATCGAATTGGGGTGTGAGGACATCATTCCCTTCTCGCTCTTGGTATTGGAATGAGTGGTTGTGAATGGCATACTCCAAGCAGGGACTCAACGCAGAGAATCGAGAGAAACGGGAGGAGAAGGACCGTTGACGTCGGAGCGGCTCAACTAAGGTTTAGTGGCTGTTTAGACTCGTGTCAGTGGGGCCCATCAGCATCCCTCGAACCTCTGTACGGCCCCCGCAAGTCTTGACTAGGCGTTAATTGGCTATTACGGACCCCGCAATTCTCCTCTTCCAGCAAGTCAGAACCTCTAGCGTCACTGACAAGCGGTCCGGGCGCAATGTGCAGCACACAGTGACCCTACCGCCACCCTTTTCCTGCTGTCGTCGGAATCCCCCTGCTCGGCTCACCAACCCCGAACCCCTCCAAGTGTCTCAGGCTTCTGTCGATGAGGCATCTTCCCTCCATGGCATTGACGACAAGGGAACGCGCGACAGGGCTGCAGATGTCACACCCTGGTTCTTCACCTTCTTTTCTTTTGACGTCCCCTTTCCCCGCAATCCGGATGTTCTACGCTTCCGGGAAGAGGAGGGTTGGGTTTGCGTTTGACGAGGGCATCTCGGTACCATACATGACTGTCGACTTTTGATGCAAAAACTGAGTGAGGAGGCGAACGGATTTTATGTGCTCGTCATATCGTCCACCATCACGATGAGAACCCTTTCCTACCTAAGTGTAAATCATTCACTAATCAGGTGAGCTGGATTTAGACGTCAAATACCTTTAGCCGACTGGAATGAAAATGAAGGTGACATGGTATGGCAAACATGGTGCTGAGTCAGAAGTAATCAGATCGATCAAAGGAAAATTCATCGAGGATAAGCTTAAGTCAATATGCTGTCAACAAACTTGGCATTCGAACAGGGATATCCCGCCCTAAACATGACTCCCTCGCGACATCAGCAAAGTTTTGAGACAGACACAACTATCAACGGAAGGAAGGTAAAACTCAACGTAAAACTCGAAGGTTTTGGCAGGTGGATCAGTGACACTTTTTTCATAAACTACATTAAAGCACTTGCCAAATCCTAGTCTGATATGTAGAGCCGTTGAATAATGCACCGTTACCCATTCCCATGTCATGTGGACCACCGATTCCCAACCCCTTTCTAGGAGACCATTGAGTGCTACCAGGGCCATACCAATGTCACCTCAACCTTCAGTAGAGACCGTCCACTAAGGATGTCAAACCCAACCGATCACGCGGCGCGGGTTCCCTCACACCTCCGCAACGCATGAGACATCTAAACAAACACAGTGGCGCCCCCGGTGCTAAACACTGATTGAATGATTGCTCCTTGCACCGTAGAAATTGTGTCAATTACATTTTTGCAGTTACATCGCCCTGTACACTGTATGCTCCCTCCCCTAAACTTCTGCAGCAAATTGTTCACTGGATCTTGACAACCTGGACGCCGCCGAGCTGGACGCCGCCGAGGACGAGACCCTGCTGCATTAGAGCGACAACCTGGACCTGGTTGACGAGGCCGACGGCGTTGAGCTGGGCGAGCTGCTGAAGCTGGGCGAGCATCACGAGCTGCTGCTGCGCCTGGAGCTGGGCGAGGGCCTGGACGTTGACGACGTTCTGGAGGTTCATGGCCGCGAGGAGGAGCTGGATGTTCTGGAGCAATAGGGCGTTGTTGTTATTGTTATTGTTGTTGTTGCGGTTGTTTCCATTGTTGCGGTTGTTACCATTGTTGTTATTGTTGTTGCCCTTGTTGTCGTTGTTGTTGTTGTTGTTGTTGCCCTTCTGGTAGTCTCCCATAGCCTTCTCAGCCTGCTTAGCAGCCTCCTTGGCAGCCTCCTTTTGCTTGTCTTCGGCCTGCTTGGCCGCGTCCTCCTGTGCCTTCTTCGCAGCGTCCTCTGCAGCCTTCTTGGCGGCATCCTCTTGTGCCTTCTTCGCGGCCTCAGCGGCGGCGTCAGCACCCTCAGCAGGAGGGGCGGCGGCCGGGGGAGCGGCCTCGGCCGGGGGAGCAGCGGCAGCGCCCTCGCCAGCCTTGGCGGCGTCTTCGGCCGCCTTCTTGGCAGCTTCCTCTTCAGCCTTCTTCTTCGCCTCCTCGGCGGCGGCGTCCGCGGGAGCAGCAGCGGGAGCCTCAGCGGCGGGAGCAGCAGGTGCAGCAGGTGCAGCAACAGGAGCAGCAGCTGCGGGAGCAGCGGCCGGGGCCTGGGCGATGGCCTGGCGGGTGTCCAGCTGCTTGGGGATGCTCAGACCCGACACCAGGCCGGTAGCAATGAGAAGGATCATGGAGGACTTCATTGTGGAATGACTGTCGTGAAGAGAAAACGGTACAAACTGGAAATCATAGTCAGCGTTGTGTTTCTAGCCAGCCCTGGATGGGAGGAAAACTTACAATTGGGGTATCAAGGAATGACAGAGAAGCTGAGAATGAATGGAAATAGAGCACAGCTCTTGAAGAATAGAATTGAAAAGTTTAATGTAGAAAAAAGACACTGTCCTGAGAGAAGGGATGAGGAACAAAACATACTCTGGTTCGGGGAAATGAAGTCTATTTAACTTCACATCTTCCCGGACTGTCATTAAGCATAAGTCTTTGTGTGGACCAGGCCCAGTATCGGGCTGGCGCTCCCCTCCCCCCAGCCCAGAGCCTCTGCTGATCAGATGGCATCTACCAGGGCTCATGAGACAGATGCCATCCGGAATTTTCGGGTTGCGTAACATGCCAACGGTCTGCCAGGCTGGTGGCGTCTTGCAAGTTGCCTCCCCAAGGTGCGAAGCAGGATGCAAGGTCTCCACCCTTGAAAGACCGGCATACGATGGGTGTGCTGAATCCGGTCTCAGTTCGTGCCCCGGTAGAAAACAGATGGCACCCGTCACCTCAACTCTAAACCGCGATGCTAAAATCTCAATGGGCCCAAGGCTCCAGGCGTTCTTCGTGATTCGTCCTCCCGGCTGTTTCGACTGATCAGAGCCGTTCTTGGCACTTTGAAGATCAGACCGCAAGCCGCCCATGTGGTACACCTCCGCCCCGCACACAAGCCTGAAGAAGACACAACCTTGTCACTCTTAACCACGAGGAGAGGCTGTGAAGCCTCGCGAGGGTATATGCGTCGTTGTGTATGTGTGTGAGTGGTTTGCGGGAGCAACAATGACTAAAAAGTTGGCCAGCGTTCCTCTACGCCAAGGCGTCCATCAGGGGCTCCCTGCGTCAGATATTGTTAGCGGGTGTTAAGGTTGCGGGCCGGAGGCAGGGGCGCGGCCTAGCAGCACGGATCACTTGCCTGAGTCTCTTCCGACGTCTCATCCCCTACGATCGCCCGGTCATGGACGGAACACCAGAAAGCCGTGGAAAATTTGGTAGAGCCTTCAGTATTGCTACTTTATGCCCTGGCAACGAAGGCAGGCATTAGATTCAATGTTGAGGCGAGGCGAATCCTGTGTGTAAAATTTCCCGGAAGATCATACGTAATAAGCTCACGGCACTTCTTACACCAGATTCAGGGGTATGAGAACTTCGTTGGGAAACGGAACATGAGAGAGAAAGACGAGCGGCGATCTTGATCGTCGTCAGCGAGGATGACTCGGAGAAAATAGCAATTTGAAGACTTTCGAGGAATACAGCCAGCAGCGTTCGGACTGTGAAGATCGAAAAATCTCGAGCAAGACACTCATCTGTTCTCACCAAGAACGGCTCGCTGGGCCTGTCCCTAGCCGTTTTCTTTGGTCGAAGCTCGCAAGGATCAAGAGGATGCAACTCTGCAAGGGCGAACTGCACCTAAGTTTCAGGCGCAGTCAATTCCAAAATAACCTTGTTTTTTAGGATGACTGCTTATTTAGACTTGGCAAGCCCCGACCAACAGCCCCCAAGTAGTGGTAGCAGAGGTATATCATTGCGTGCGTGACTCTGAACATCGCGAACTACTTGGGCCATGGAATATTTTGCACGATGGGTTGCTTGTCGATTCCGTGACTTGAAGAAGTTGAATCGTTATTTGGCTATAGGGTAGGGTCCAAAGCACCTCTGCATCGGAGGCCCTCTACCACCATCTGTCTCGACGTAGCCCGAGAGTGTGATTGCGGCGTACTGGTCGCCCATTTGAGTTCAACGGCAAAGGCGCGGCAGCCGATGTTGCCATGCTGTGCCCTAGACTCGAAAACTCTAGACTCTCAGTTAAACGCTTGAGATATCGTCGAACACGCCACTTGAGGCAACAATTGCGGCATCAGTGGGAAGGCTGAGTTGCGTTGCTCACTTGAGCAAGGGCTCTTGAGATCCTGCGGTATACTGGAGGATTCATGATTCTGGGCACCCTTACTTCCTAATTCGGGCTCTTGTTCCCAAACTCTTCGCGGCGCATCAGCCACCTTCAGTGAATCATCCCGTGTACGTATATTCATCCCAGCTCTACTGAATACACCACAAGAGCAAGCCCATATAGACCCCCTCAATTCCGTCCCTGTCACCAGCCAGCAGGCGCCCTCTAGGTCGGGGGTCAGGTCAAACTGGCTGGTTGGTGGAGTAGTTCAAGGTCAACAGTTAAAACGCCAACCAGCCTACTCGACGACAGGCTTAGCGAGTACCCGAGTTCGAATCCCAGCATGAGCACCAAGAGATGTAGCCCCCAGTTCAGCACCGGGGGGGGGGGGGTGAACTCTTTTTTTTTCTGGCGTAAGCGGGTGTCCTTAACCCATATCCTCTTAATTCGGCAGAGCGACTGTTCGCTGAGTGATTGCATGCTCGTCACATTGACCATCTCCTGCGTGTCACCCCGTCTATCGTTATCGCACATCCAATGCCGCTGGGACCGCAATTGTTGATCGTAAATGGTATCTTTGAGTTATTTGTACATATGTTCATCCGCTGTCGTCACCTTCCCGCTCTGCTGTCTTCTGCTTTGCTCGGCCCGTGGAATCCCAACCACTCGCCCAAAATGCCGCCAGGTTTCGGTACTGGGCACTCCCTCCTCAATCGCTCCTCTCGTGCTCGTATCGTTTCCTCGTCGCCCATTTGATTGAAGCTGACGACGCCGTCGTTGATTTCGGGGGCTGCCTCGCGACGGCGGCGCCTCCTTCGGCGACCGTCCTCGCCCACCACTATCTCTCCATCGGCGTATGTGACTCTCGGTGCCGGACACGGTAACAGATGCGGCATGCCGACTACGAAGAAGCTTGCGACAACCGTGGTTGCAAAGAGCGAAGAGGTCATGCGCGACCTCGGGTGGAGGGGGTGTGGTGGCATGATCGCGATTTTTTTCTTTGGTGTTCGGAAAAAGGAGGCTTCGAACTTCTGCGTGCCATTGGACGTTAGCGACTTTGAAATTCATCAAAATGACCCAATTGACTGAGGCTCCTCACCTATGACAGCACCATGCTCGCGCGACGGGGTGACGGATCCGAATGTAGTCCCCTTAACGAAGGCTTGAGGTTCGCAATGACGATGGCCAACGGATGATTTTCTCGCAAACCTGCAGTGAAGCTTAATGACCCGAACTGATATGCAGGCCTTCTGATTGGATTCCGGCGGCCCGGAGTGGGTCCACCCTGGGCGACGTGACATGCCAGCCGACGACTGCAGGTCGCGAGCCTGAGGATCTAATCTTCGGTCGTCGCAATAACTAAATCCCCGAGATGGAGCCCTGAACAATTCCCCGGGCCGGGATGCACTCCAGCGAGAACCCACAGCGACGCATTGGCCATCTATCCACTTTTTGCAGATCCCGGCGCGATTGGAAGTTCGAATTGGGGGTTGGCAGGCGACCGGCGACCGCTAAAGGGCAACCATGCACCTCTTCGAACTTTACTGACGCCATCCCATCCTCGAAGCCCTGATCGCCCCTACGCAAGTGCTCAATCCGCATTCTTACGACGACGTTAAGGTAGCTGCCGTCGATCGCGCCGAATCGAATACTCCACGCGACATGCTATAAAGTAGAACGAATACCCGCCATCCTTTCCACCTCGATATCGCGAGTCCTCAGCCTCGGGCGCCGCGACCCAGACCAAGGAACCCCTCCTCAAATTCCACAATGAGCGACCTCGATAAGTGAGCATACTCGCGATCGCATACTATCTCTCATGACTGAAAAGGCGCTGACGCTTAACCCAGAGCTATCGCACAACTGCGCGCCTGTCGACCGATACCCGAAGCGCAAGTCCGAGAGCTATGCCACAAGGCGCGCGAGCTGCTCATTGAGGAAGGAAATGTTGTCACGGTTACAGCCCCCGTAACGGTACAATGAGGAACCCCCGCCGTAAATTTCCGGCGAGTAGACGCTGACATCGGACTAGATATGTGGCGATATTCACGGCCAGTTTCACGACCTCATGGAGCTCTTCCGAGTAGGCGGGGATGTTCCCGATACCAACTACCTCTTCATGGGTATGCCCTCATGATCTCTCGCTTACCCACGGCACTTATCGGATGTGCTGACACTTCCTTCGTATAGGTGACTTTGTCGACCGCGGCTTCTACTCCCTCGAGTCCTTCCTCCTTCTTCTCTGCCTCAAAGTCCGCTACCCCGACCGCATGACCCTTATCAGGGGCAACCACGAATCCCGCCAAATCACTACCGTCTACGGCTTCTACGACGAGTGCCTTCGGAAATACGGCTCCGCCAACGTCTGGCGGTACTGCTGCGACGTATTCGACTACCTCGCCCTCGGCGCCATCGTTCTCGGCGCATCACACACATTCAACTCCACTCCGGGACAAGACCCCATCAGCGAAGATACTGAGATTGAGGTCTGCGATCAGAACGGCTCAACAATGAGCCGCTTCCCCCGACAGAGACGACCACAAAGGCAACCTACGAATAGCCCCAACGGTGCCCCCTCGTCCGGCGGCGACAAGACAGGCCCGCCAGGAAGCGGCGCATCAGGAAGCGCATCAGGTTCTATAGGCAACCCCGCCGGAGCCATTCTGTGCGTTCATGGCGGGTTGTCCCCGCTTATAGACAGCGTAGATAAGATCCGGCTGTTGGACAGAAAGCAGGAAGTCCCCCACGAGGGCGCCATGTGCGATCTGCTCTGGTCCGACCCGGACGAGATCGACGGCTGGGGCCTGTCGCCGCGCGGTGCGGGCTTCCTCTTTGGCGCCGATATCGTCCGCGACTTCAACCACAAGAACGACCTCTCGCTCATTGCGCGCGCCCACCAGCTGGTCATGGAAGGGTTCAAGGAGATGTTCGACGCCAGCATCGTGACGGTGTGGTCGGCGCCCAACTACTGCTACCGCTGCGGCAACGTGGCGGCCATCCTCGAGCTAGCCGAGGACGATTCGGGCACGGGCGTCTTTGCGCGCAGCAACGGCGATCGGGGACGCAGCGACGGCAATATTCGGGGCACCGACGACCAGGTACTCCTCCCCGGGCCCGCGAGGAGGTACCGCGTGTTCCAGGCCGCGCCGCAGGATTCTAGGGGCATGCCTGCGAAGAAGCCCGTGGCGGACTACTTTTTGTAAGGGTGAGGTGGTTTGGTCACGGACTCTCTCCCCCAGTGGAGGCGAGAGACATTCTCGGTATAATGACGATACCAAAGCGTTTTTATTGTTTCAAAACGGCACAAAACATTTAAAGATGAAAATAGCGAAAAAAGACAGAGAACGGAATGGTCAGCGTTGCTGGGCAAAAATTTACGTGTTTCCCCCTGATCGTGTATGTATAAAGGTCGGTGGATGATTACTGGAGTTAATAGGAGTTGGCGCGAGTCATGCATCGTTTTTTGATATTCGTTCAACAGGTCAAACCAAACGCCTCTGTGATATCTATCTCAGCTAACTTGACACGGCGCACATCGTCACTGATATATACATCTTCCTCCTCTTTCCAACCCTCTATAAGCCACAAACTCAACTTTCCACTCCTCTTCAAACACAATAGAACTCCCGGCCATCTTCCTGAACCCCGCCAAAATACGGCATCATCAGCGCCCTCTCCGCAAACTCGAGCTCCCCCGCGACGCGTAACTTCATCTCCACGATCCAATCCGCAAAAATCGCCGCCCCCTCTTCCCCAAACGCGAAAATCTTGTCATTCAGCTCATTGCAGGCCCACAATCGACGGTGCAAGACCTCTTTCTCCTGCGTCAGCTGCTGTATACGCTCCGCCCTGGCCTCCTTCGCCTTTATCCCTCTTAGATGTGGAATCTGCCCTTTTTGAATCGCCGTCTCCTCCGTCCGGATCGCCAGGAGCTTTTCGTCAATCATCTTCTTCGATATGGCTTTGGACGGGATCTTGCGTAGGACGGTCTGTATGTCTTTGAATTGTTTTGCGTGGTATTCGCGCATGAGGGGGTCGTTGGACGTGATTGCGTGCGGCGCGTCTTCGACGAGCTGGATGAGTTCTTCGATGGCGTCGCGGTAGTGCAGGGCTCTCTGGTCCTCTTTTCCGGTGCCAAATAAGTATCTTGGGTTGAGAGCTTCCGCGAAGATGCAGCACCCCACTGGCTTCGGCGAGTCTGGTATGCTCGGTACAATGGCGGTCGGTTCGGCGTCTCTGCTTTCTTGAGACTTAGTTCGTCTTCTCCGAAAGGGGTTGAGGGAGCTTAGGAACCTTTTGATACGCCCTGGACTACCACCGTTCTTCCCGCCCTGAGGCTCAGAGCGAGGTTTCTTGACAGTCGATGGGGACAAGTCGTTTTCTGCAGACCTCTTCCTCCCGCGAGCCTCTCGCCCTTTCCCTTCGTCCCCTGTCTTACTTCCATTTCCCCTCTCCATCTCCGTCTTTGCTTCGCCCTCGTCCTTATTCTCCGTCCTTGAATTGAGATCATTCGACCACTTTTCTACGTTAGCCGCATCGATTCTCTCTTCCTGTTCATCCTGTAGTCTGCAGAGGTTTACCGCACCGCTCACATCCCCCGACTTCCGGCGGCTCAAGGGGTCTCGCTCTTCATTCGCTCTTGAGAGAGGTTTTCCGAGCGCTGGACGCGAGGATTTGTTACTTGCGGTGGGCCACAGCTTGAGTCTTTTCTCGGGGGCAGGACTTACACTAGCCTGATCATGACGACGGACACTCCCTCCTTGATACGTTCCCCTTGGACCAGTTGTCCCATGGTCCTTTCTTCCACCACTTTCTGCTGGCGCTTGTTGTCGAGGACGACGCCGCCTTCTCGTGATCCGAGGAGGGAACCCCTTGATCTCACGGATCGGGGACTTCTGCTTCTCAGGGGGTTGAGACCGGTCCATCGCGTCAAGCGTCGGCGTAGTGTCAGAAAGCCGTCTAGACAATGGAAGCTGATTGAATTGTAGTTTTACTTTCGGCAGCCTAGGAGGTCTTGGTAAAGGGGACCGCGGTTTTCGGTGTTCCCATTCCGCCTCTTCCTCCTGGCGTGACTGTTGCTGTTGCTGCTGGATCATCGATTGTTGTGCCAACCGTGGATTAGACATTGGCGTCGGTAGGAACGGCTTCCCCATCTCTCCCGCAACCTCCAGAAGCTGCGTCTTGATCAGTAGAGTCTGCTGTGCTAGCATACGATGGATCATGTCATATGAGCCCCCGATATTCTCTGCCTGAAGACTTAACAGAATGCTGCTGGCGTCTTCGGCTTCGCTAGCTAGACGCTGGAGCACTCCCATCGTGTCGGATTTGTTACCTCCATTGCGTCCTTTGATTTCGGCAAGGCATCTCTCAAACTCGATTCGCTGTGATGTAGCCAATATCGCTACCAAATCCACCCTCTCTTGGCTGTAGTATTCCGACATTGAAGCTTTGAATGATCTATGATTTTGGTAAGATGTAAAAGGGGTAGGATGTGGATAATATTCCGTCAAGTAGACGCACTGAGTTGACTTTGTTGTGAGGAAATGAAAACAAGAGAATTGAGTGGTAACCGTGGGCATTAGATTCATTAAAGACGACTCTTATCAACTCCTCCATCTTGTGACCCGTGAGCCCTTTGCTGACAGCATTGGACCTTCTCAACTGGCTTAATAGGGCGCCGGAATGCCCTCTATCTAGCTGCTCCATGCGCATGCTTCATACAAAGAACGCTGCAGCAGAGATAAAGACTCTTGGTCTGTATCCATAGAGAACGCAACGTTTTCAGCACTTGCCAAAGGCCACGAGCTTTCGTTGCCTTTATGCTCCATTTCCTTCCCGCCAGCCTCGGTGACATGGGTAGGGAACAATAAGACTGGTTTCCTTTGACCAACCTCGTCTGTGCTTGATTGTGTACACGGCAAGGCCAACGTACGGCTCCAAAAACAGGAGTGCCAAGGCACTGCGAGTTGCTATTCGAGATCTCCATTCAAGATAAGGCCCCGGCCAATTTGTTCGGCCGAGTATTCCATTGAATTTCCAGTGGGGCTCAGCCTTTATTGTTGACTTTACAACAACCATTCTCCATTGTCGGTGTTGGGTTTCGAGAGCCTTGTTTAATAAGGTCTAAATTTGCGTCGATATCATCAAACAACAACACTCGGAGCCGCTTCAGTTGTGTCGGGGATTGTATTGCGATCTGGTAAAGGGGTCCGATGATGACCAAGAATGGTCTTCTGGGTGTCTATACTGAGGTTTGCGATCCTCAATAGCAGGATCCCCTTCAGTGACGGGGACATGTCCAATATGACCAGTAGCAGCTGCGACAAACGCTGGCGGCTGGGGATGAAAAGTCGGGTACGATGTGTACGGCATGGATGGCGGTCCGCCGCATGTTGGGGGTAGCATGCCTGCTGAAGGATCGATGCCCGGGAATGGCGGATGATAATCGAGCGCCTGATTCGCCCCGAATCCCTGAACATTTGATGAAATACCATGGGGTGACTGATTTTGGTGGGTATTTGCCCACTCGACCTCAAGTGGACGGTGGTGATGGCCTGCGTAATCTCGGTTCTTCATGTCGCCGGCGCGAACGTAGACCTGTTGGGAGCCAAAGTCTGTCGGTGAAACAACCGCCGAACCATGGATTTGATGGACAGATTCCGACGGAGAACCATATTCTTCGACAGGCGAGTCTGGCGTAGGACCGTATGACAGGGTTCGGTCTGGGCTTGTGTTTCTGCTTGTTGGTAGAATCGGCATCTGGATATCGAGGCAAGGTGGCCGCCGTGGAACCAAAAGACCCTCCAACGTTTCTGTCGCTTTCTCAGGAACCAAGCTGCCGCTCGAGCTTGCAATATGCAGGCCGCGATGACTTGGAGAAGCGAGCTTGCCGGTGTGAATGTACTGATCAACGACTTCGTCGCCATAGCCTACATGTTGAAGTAGTTGTCGAAGCTTGTGGTTCTCATCTGCAACTCGGCGTGCCGCCTGCTGTACTTCAGCAGAAGCCTCGACTCCTTGAAGTTGACATTGCCGAAGACGTTGCTCAATCTCTTGAACGTACTCTTTCTTCCGAGCCCTCGAACGGCGCTGGTTATCCCGGATGCGGTTCCTCTCCTTTTCCTATGTTGAAAGGGTTGGTAAGTTGTCCATCCGCTGGGGGAGAATGTTGCCCTGTGGAGCTCCACGCCGAGCTCTTTTGGAACCAAAAGGTCACTAACCGCTTCCATTGGCTATTGTGCGGGTAGACGACAACGACGACGCACTTTCGAAATATGGGGAACTATGCTTTCAGAGGGAATGATGATGATCGTAGATGGCGGAATAGAAATTGGCATTTCTCTTCTAGGAGCATACGACGGAAGGTAACCCGTACGTCTTAGGAGGTTGGGCATCTATCATGTGCAAGAGACTGTGGGGTTTTAGAGCCTTAGCTGCCGCCTGTTTCATCAGAAAGACTTGAGGGAATGTGAACAAGAACATCAGCTGGCGAGGCCGCACCAAGGGCTTCTAGGCCTGGCATGTTGCTGCAGTAAAAGAAAGCGCAACGGGCCGGCAAATCACAGACGGCCTGAAATTGTTTGAGAGACGGGTGGAGGATGACTTTTCCTGGCCGAGACTGGTCCGACAGAGGGGAAGAGCAAGGATTGCGAGGTCTCCTGCTGAGGTGGTAGGGGTATCATCCAGGAAGAGGCCAGACCGGACCCCAAGCCACTAGGCATAATGAGGAGGCAACGCAGCTGACCAAACGGGAACTCCGATTTACTTGACTGTCGTGAGATCTTGCTTGTATCTGCGCAGCCAATCGACGTACATGCCGAATCTAGATTTAAGTGTTGTTCCGGCCAAGAAGACTCTGAGCTACCAAAGCCGATCAACACATTCCATCTGTGGGTTTGATTAGCCATAGAAGCTTGGACATTTGCCCTCAGGTGAGCTGAGCTCTTGCGGCTCAAGACTACCGAGGGAGAGACAAAGCCGGCCGGAGTAAGCGAGCTCCTCATACGAAAAACCATCCGTGACCCCAAAAGTACGCGTCTGTCGGTGGACCCTGACCGACAGGCTCGACGGAAAATTGGGGGTTTGGACGCTAGGAAGCCATCAGAACAGAGGGTCTTGGTAATATGGACTCGATTCCTACGTGCTCTCGGCCAGTGATATTGCCCCTGAGCCGTGCACGATGACTCCGTAAAAGCACGCGCGCCTTGTTCTTCGGCTGTCGCGGTCCGTCGAAGAAAAAGGCTCCAAGATAGACTGGGATCGTCACTTGAGGCACGGCGTTGGGAGTTGGAACTTTTGGTCGATGCTGGTCCCAGTGCAACGGTACGGATACAGGTTCAGGTTTGATCGTGGCTGCCGTGGCCGAAGGCAGCAGTCGCCCTGGATGTCATATTTGCTTTTCCTAGTCGGGCTGGAGCGTCCTTCGCCCCCATGTATGCCGGGTCCGGGGGCGAAGTCTACTGTCTGGGAGGACAGGGCGGGATGTCTGACTTTCAACGGGGAACGAATGACAGATCCGGAATGCTCAACAGCCGCCTGAGAGGATAAGCTTGAATGGGGAAGAATCCAGGCGTGTCATTGGCGGCAAGCCACAGATCGCCAACCGTGATATCCTGAACACCCTGTTTTCCCGGTTCTTGGATCTAAGTGACGCTTCCCCTTCCGTTGGCTGCACCATTCGAAGATAGCCTCTTGCTGCTGCAAGACATTCATTGGAGTGGATGCTCGAGAGCACAAGATAAAGCCGAGATTTGTAACAGAATTGCCATTGGGCAACGTGCCATATGTCGGAGGTCTCAAGGAGATGGCGACTCTTCGACGAGGAGCACAGCCATCTAGCAGACGCTTGCGCAGGTATCATTGTCCTGTAATGTTAGGCATACGCACACCACGAGAGATGCGGACCCAGAAGTTGATTGAGCCTGTCCTTGTTCTATGGATCGCAGGTAGTCAGCAGATTGGTGGCGATGGACGAGGGGATGATAGGTGGGCACGAGGCAACGAATGACATTGCGATACAGATGCCTCTTTGCTCCTAGACATCAGTAATCATGAAGATTTGCTGTGCCTGATCGACTGAAGGATTCAGGGCTTGTCGATTGGTGTCACGATGCAACGGTGATGGCCGGAAATGACGACAAGAATAGCTCCTTTGTAACTGTGGTGGGTTTTCGACTTGACCAACGAGGGCAAGCAGGATCTAGAGCGGGCAGAAATGCTACCTGTCAGATTGTCGAAGTAGCAGTAGTAGAGTGTTAGTTTACGTTAGTTTGAGGCCCGTCACCAAGGATGTTGAACATGTCGGACAATGTTGAGAGGATGATTTGATGGAAATGGAAATGGAAATGGCAAGGCGCCAAGCCCTTGCCACGAGCGGCCTCCGGTATCTCAGGGTCCATTTTATGTGTTAGACGTGATTCGTTAGAACTTGCTCAGCGGACTTCAAGCCGGCAGGCAAGACTTGGGCATCAGGTGCTTGCTTACCTTAGTCTTGCCCCATCCACCCGGTCGAACGTGGTATCTTTCTGCAGGTCTAGATGGAGCGATCGAGTTCGGGTTAGTCACGAAAGCGGATAGAGCACACGGTGAGACAGAGGCGCCCACGCCACAGCTTCAGCTGGGTACCGGGGTCCAAGAACCAACTGTAAAAAGTCGAGATGTGATTTACCAACAGCAACAGCAAGCGGGCTTGATGTCGAGGGCCGGCCGCAGGCGGCAGGCACGCCGCACTAGGCACTAAGTTAGGTAAGGTAATGGCAGGTAAAGATACCCTCCGCCATGCAGTCTGCAAAGGCAATAGACAAGGTACCTTACCCAAGCCTCCAAGGGGAGGCACCCGCGCGGAGTATCCCGTATCCGTACAATCTACCCGTACTCTACTGTGTAGGTAAGGCACTAAGGTAGTTTTGTATCTACTTACTCCGTACTTACTACGCATACACGTACTCTGCAGTGTACAGCGTACCTTCCCATTGGTATTCGCCGACAACATACGGATATGTCACCGGGTTGTACTCCACCCCACGTCCTACTCATCCCCACCTTTCCTATGATCACTCACAGAGTTACATTCCTGGGAAACAATGGGTGCTGGCAGCTGCCTGCTCAGTGCCGCTTGCTTTGCTTGCTTGATGCTCCCAGGTTCCTCGACCGGGGAGGAGAGGGGCGACGTCGGCGCTAAGGATCGTCCAACCGAGGAGTAAAGTGTCCGAAACTACGTCCGGACCCACTCGTTATTTCCAGAATCGTACCAACTTCCGGCCTCCCAGAACACCACCAGCCCATCACAACACTCACATCATGACCCTCTCCAGTTCTTTTCTTCTTCCACGCAGCCTCGAATGCATTTGACCCGAACCCGGCAACATAGCAAGGGCTCTCCATCTTCACCATCCTTTTGACGACAAACGGACATAATCGGCTACGTAACGAGACGTCATTTCCACTCATTCGGATCGTCCACGGCCGTAATCTGTGGCACGTCAGGCATACCTACTCCATATGGGAAACTCCGCAATTGTGGCTAGTGAATTCTAAAGATTCCTTTTTTTTTTTTTCACATTGACTAAGTTCGGTTACAGAATTCAGCATGCGGCTTCTTATTTATTTTTTCGCCCCCATTCGTCCTTGCCTACCGCTCTCCGTACTTCTAGGTAGGCATAGGCTCTAGCCTCTCGCCTACGGTCTCGCCCTTCCCCTCCTTCCTCTCCGCCCCGCCGGTACCTCGCTCCGAGAACTGGACCCTCGGTCAGCGGGCCCTGGCACACGTCGGATAAGACGTGCCCTGGATCTGTGGTGTCTGTGCACCCGCAAACTCTTGGCATTCTGACGGACTCGCGGATGCGTTCCGTTGCTGCGAAGCTCATGCAGTAGCCCTGCTCTTGCTACCTTTGTTCCTCTCCGCCCATGCCGCCAACGCGTGGTCGCTATTGTGGATGCCGCATCCATGAGCCTGATGAAGACGACTGTTGAAACACACCTCCGGATCGTCACCCCGGCCCCCCATCGATCTCGAAAGGCTTCGCAACCTGTCAGCATCGGAACGGATATCTCCATACGGGCGCCTGCCATACTTATACAATTTCACTAACGCCGGCCTACAACGAGCACAAACAGGTTTTGGTCCTTGGAAGATATGTGTATCAAAGTTCGCCATTGAGTCTTGACAGCATGGCCTGGTGTCAACGACGACCAGACCGGCTGCGACCAGTTCTAAATGCCTAGCATGCAACGACATGTCATCCAAGAAAAGAAAATCTGGGGAGAATACGTCTCGGCAGCAGTTTTTGCTGGGGAGCGCAATTGCCACGATTACGCGCCATCCGAGACCCTTTTCACCGCATGTTTTGCCCAACAGCCACTGGACCGTGGACGGCTATCGGAGCTCCTCCGTTGGTCCGCTGCCCACCAGAACTCCTTTCGGCTGTCGCCTCTCTAACCAGCGCATTCTTCCCTTCCTTCCTTCCTTCCTTCCTTCCTTCAAGGCTTTGAGTCGCTTTGACCAACGGGTCAGCCAACTCATGATGGCTTTCTTCCAAAGTTCCTCTACCATCACCTTCTCAAAATCGACTTTTCCTATGTAATAGGATGTTGACATCTGCCTGGCTTTCGTACACAAGGTACCTGATTCTTGCTTGCTCGAACCAGTGCTTGCAAACTCGGTACCGTACGTCAGCTGAAACCCAGAGAGCGGCAGTGTAGCAGTCATATCACAATTTCGGTATGCTACCTCCATTCGGTATCGAGCTCGGCGTAAATGCTATGTTTTGACTGAAGAGATGCCGGGGTTGGACTTGATCCGAATTTGCTTTGATTGAGTTGTTATCGACGAAATGGACAGCTCTTATTCGCCTGGCTCCACGTCTCTAGACACTGATCTCAAGCTATGTGCCTGCAGGGCAATATCGCGGGGACACCGTCCCAGAGCTCCACGTTTAGACCTCTCGCCTCTGCCTTACCACGGAGCCCCAAATGACTATGATGGCAAGTTTGACAGACAAGATCTCCCGGCTTGTCAATCAGGAAGGTGATTCTCGGGCTGGGGAAGAACATCTCCCCGCATCACGAACTTCGGGCCGCTGAGGCCTCAACCAGCCGCTGACAAACGGAAGAAATGTATCCTTCAGCCGAGAATCCTCATCGTTCCCACGTTTCTCACTACGCCTCGTCGTGAGATATCGGGGCCGAGAAAATTGCAAAGTCCGGAATGCTGACCATCGTTCGCTGTGGCGACATGTTTCCGTACTTCAATACGTGCTATACCGAGCAAGACGTTAGAGCCGGCATCCGAATTGCTGACGGCTTGGATGGAAGGCATGTTGTCTGGTACTGGATTTCTTAATTGAGCCCGCAAGGTCCGGCAACTCCTTTGAATGATTAAATCCCCGAGGAGAAAAGGAGGCATTATTCGAACATTTCCGCACTTTCATTAAAGTTCCCTCTTCACAATCTCATAAACAAGAAAGACAGTACCACGAAACATCGCACAATATTTTGTGTCGTAGAACAACGACACTGGAGGAACAAAAAGGTAAGCTAAGAATAAACACCAGTAGAATACTGAAAACAAGGAGCCACGCCTCATCCGTGCGTACTTAGAGAGGAGCAATTCGGTGAGCGCTCTCTCTCCCCCATTTTTCGGGACAGGGCTCAGAGAAATGAACAGTCAATCTCCTGGTCACTGACGATACAATTCCAAATGACCACAGCAAGCAGCATGAATTGTTGTGGTGTGAACGTTGGAAGGAATCCAAACACTCGCCAGCAATAGGGCCTACTTGAATTATTGCCCTGCTTTGAGCTATGGCAATTTTACCAAGTCATGAAACGGTCGTTACCAACACATACCCACACGACAGCCTCACTCGAGAAACGCTATGGAGGTCGGAGCTCCCGGCCTCCGAACAGCATCGAAGAAGTGTGCCAGGAAATCACTGGGGCTTGCTTTCGCCTCGCCACCTCGCTCTAGGAGGGCTCGAAATTGGTCCATCAAGTTCCAGCCCAGCCATTGCGATGGATGTGTTCCGAGGGCTGATTGGTGCTTTCCTTTGTTTGCCACCTATTCGCTCTTCGGAGACTCCCTTGAAATCAGTACCAATGGTTGTGGACATGAGCTTCTGTACCTTATCCAAGGTAACATGCTCTCTGCTGAACGAATCCGCCGGACTTTGGGCTGTAGGCCTCGTCTGCGCACCCAAGTGTATTGGGACCTGAGAGGAATGTACTGTACACGCTGTGGTAGTAAAGCAGCCAGTGTGGTCTTGCGTGTGGTCCTGCAAATGGCTGACGAGAAACGAGCTCGCTCGTTCAACCACATGGCCTGGCCGCCGGGGTAACCTTGGAAACTTGAACCCCAGAATTCTCCCTCGCTTTTTGTAAAGGGAGTCTTGTGACTAAGAGGACGGTTAGCGTCCTGCACATCCACGAAATACGCAGGATGTTGGTCATGGATTCCGTCGTCGACTTGAAGCATTCGTAAGACTCGGATCAGACGCGGGGCCACAGTCAACATACGTCCAGGTCTCTGGACTCTTCTCTTTGCCTCCTCACATCGTGATCTAGATCTCGATGGTGAATGCCAGAGTGATCCGAGGCTATAGCGTGCGATAGCCAAGGCTTTTTTCTCGAGGTTTGGGAAAGTCTCTCCGTCTAGAATGGGCATCGGCCGCTCTCCCCCGCCTTTGGACATTTGCACTTACAGGCGTTTAGGTATCACTGCCCTATTCAGACATACCTCTGAGACCCGTCCCGGGATTCAGGATTTACTGATTTTCAAGCCCAACAACTTCTAGACTTTGGGCTAGGGAGGGTCGAAGCGGGCAGACCGCTTCCCAGACCACAGCCTTCGTTCTAGACACGAGGCGTTGTCAAGCAGCTCAAGCTGCAATCTGCACAAGAGAGGATGCTCCAGTCAGCTCATTGTAAGAATGAAGGATCAGAATCAAGCCATAGGTATGCTTGTGACGAAGCAAAGCAATGACCCCCTCTCAATGCCTCATTCTTCCTACTGCATTAGTGATGTTGCACAGCGTTCGCGATGTTGTGCTGCGGCCTGTCCATCCGGCCAGCCCCTTTGCCGACCAAAGATCGGCGAGAGTGCGTTGAGTGCGTGGGTGCTTGGGGTGCCCCCCATCCCTTTCACTGCTTCCACAAGCCATACAGACGCGTCATTCGCGAGGGTCTGATGCATGAGACGGCGAAGCTCTTGCCCAGACGGGCGCGATGTCGCAAAGAGCTGCAAAAGGTATGCTGGCTGGCTGGCTGGCGGGGCGCGGAAGGACCGCTGATGTTTGGAGGATCGAAACCTCGCAGTGGCCCCCCCTTTTCGCGAACCTATGTTTATGGCGTGGGCAGACCCAGAGACAGGTTTTTCTCCCAATTTTAACTGAGATTGAAGAACGGGAGAATAGTGATATGTGAGTAATGTTGTAAGTGTCCCATTCAACTGTGTAGCTTCACCTCTTGGACTTACGCAAATTAGGGTAAAAATAGATGAAGGAAAAGTTTGGTGGGGATTTTGAGTTGTCTTGGCCATTCTATGTATCAAAGGGTAATGTAGCTCTGAAAAGTCGGATAGCATGTTACTCCCACGCTCAACGGTACCGGATCTAGGGGCTATGAGGCTAGATCATGCCACGGAGTTTATATATACCGCTGTCTTCTTTGAGGTAGCGAGACGAGCCGCGAGGACCTTTAGTCTTCATATTTCTATCCACATATACAGAAGGATGGTTATAGGTCTTGGGCGTAATGAAACTCGAACAGACTTGCCAGTATTGCCAGTGTTTGCTTCAGCATACTTGAGCAGATAGATGACACGGATCGAAAATCCCTGACCCGCCCCTCCCATTTCCTGGAAGCAAGGATATCCAGTAATACCGGACCACATCGAAATCCACAAAATGACAGTTCTTTGATCTATAAAAACATAGAATTTCAACACGACCATCTAACAATATGATGCAAGAATGGGGTACAGGCGGGTAGCTTGACTGGTAGCACAGGGAGTACTATGTATGTGTGAACAGAATTTAGATCGCTTGCCTCTCTCCCTGCCTTTGACCATAAGCGAGATGCGCCACAAGCGGTACTAATCAGTACATCTTTTTGTCGATTCTTCATTCGCGTCGTCTTGTTGTTCAACATTTTCCCAGCAAACCTTGGTCTAGGTAAGCTCGCTTTCCTGAACAAAAAGGCTTAGGATGATATGATGCGTGTACTCAAAGTCCGCTTTTCAAAAAGAAACGTTTTACATATGAGTGAAATCAGAAAGATATGGGCAGGCTAGATGGAACACCCGTTCCTTGTTTGCTCGTCGGCGTCTTTATGGGATCTGCTTGACGAGCTGTCGTGAATAACACGATTATTTTGCCTATCTCGATTCCTTCGAAAACATATGCAATTAGACAAAATTCAGGGTAAATAAGAAAGTAAGACCACCAAAGAAACATCTAGCACTTTGAGCATTACTTTCAATTCGTTTTTGGCCAGTGCCAATCCTCTCCTCAGATGAAAGCTCGGGAGGAAAGAGACGACCTGGAAGTCAGATCATGGCCTGAGCGTCACCCTAAGAAACCTCACCTTCGGTGAGCAGCCATCCAGTCAGTCAGACCGAAGTCGGCATGGTCCGGAGTTCGGCATCTTTCGGCTCCCCCACCGTCGAATTTACGGCGGATAGAGGCCTCTGGGCCTCTTATAGGTTCTCCATCGTCTCTCCAGTGCTAGTGTCAATTCGGGCGCCAGTTGTGAGAGCCGGCCCGCGGGCAGGCAATAGCGTCATTTTCTCCGGTATCTTTTACCGGCCGACCAGTCTATTTTTGTTGATTTCGCACACACCTTCAATCCCACGAGACATCTCCAAAGCCGCTTGGTTGTGTCCCCAGAACACTGCGACAACGATCATCTCACAGCGCGCGCATGCTTGCAACATGCATTGTTCTTGTTAATACCCCTAGACTTTTTTTTCTCTCCATTTGACTTTTGTTCACCTTGGTCCCTCTTGACTAGCCACCATGCGCCGTGCAGCTGCATCCTCACTTCCCCTCCGCCGAGTGGGCGCATCGCTCAACGGCTCTGCCGCCCCAACCCGAGGCATCACAGAGCAGGCCGTCAACCGACGCTCCCTTTGCACAACTTGCCTTGCCAATAGACACAACACAAGCGCTGGAAGGTTGCGTCCGCTACCGAGTATTCTTACGCAACAAACCAGAAATGGGGGCCAGAGGAGGACGGCTTCGGCGGTAGCGACAGCGACAGAGGGAAACAGGGGTAGGGAATCAGAATCGCGAAAACAGTTTGGTGGCGCAAGGGGGGCTAATGAGAAGGCAGCTGCAAAAGATGAACACGGCCCGATACAAGAATACGACCGCCGAGTCGACAACGGCATTTTGCGCAACGACGAGCATCAGAGGGGCAAGTTTGCGCTCCCAGGAGCCGACATTGGCAGGGGGGGGGGAGAATCACATGCTGACGAGGGACAGGTATCATCCAGAGCCTCCAGCACCTCCACGACGAGCTGGTCAACTACCATGCGCCCGAAGTGAAGCAGCCGACTCTCGAGTCCATCAAGCCCGCAAAGTCAATGTTCGGATCCTGGTTCGGCGGGGGAAAGGCTGCCGAGGCTGCGATAGGAGCGATCCCGAGCAACTTGCCCCGCGGGCTGTACCTCTTTGGCGATGTCGGTAGCGGCAAGACGATGCTCATGGATCTGTTTTACGACACGCTGCCGAGCTCCGTCAAGACCAAGACGCGCATCCACTTCCACAACTTCATGCAGGATGTCCACAAGCGGCTACACAAGATGAAGATGCAGCACGGCAACGACGTCGACGCCGTTCCCTTTGTGGCAGCGCAGATCGCGGCGCAGGGCAACGTTCTCTGTTTCGACGAGTTCCAGTGCACCGACGTGGCAGACGCCATGATTCTGAGAAGGTGAGCTAGAAAGGGGAACCGCGCGCGAAAAGGGAACACTGTCGCAAACTGACACACCGGGGGGCAGACTACTAGAAGCGCTCATGTCACATGGCGTCGTACTGGTCACGACATCGAACCGACACCCCGACGAACTCTACAAGAACGGCATCCAGCGAGAATCCTTCATTCCCGCGATCAAGCTGCTCAAGAGCAGGCTCCATGTCATCAACCTGGACTCCCCGACAGACTACCGCAAGATCCCGAGACCGCCCTCGGGCGTGTACCACACCCCGCTCGACGCGCACGCGACCTCCCACGCCGAGAAGTGGTTCCGCTTCCTCGGCGACCCGGAGAACCCGGAGCCGCACCCGGAGGTGCAGAACGTCTGGGGCCGCGAGATCCACGTGCCGCGCGTGAGCGGCCGCTGCGCGTGGTTCACCTTTGACGAGCTCATCGGCAAGGCCACGTCGGCGGCGGACTACCTCGAGCTGGTGCGCAACTACGACGCCTTTGTCATCACCGACTGTCCCGGCATGACGTACCGCCAGCGCGACCTCGCCCGACGCTTCATCACCTTCATCGATGCCGTGTACGAGTCGCACGCGAAGTTGGTGCTGACAACGGAGAAGCCGCTGACGGAGCTATTCGTCTCCCGCGCCGAGCTAGAGGAGTCGTTGGAGAAGCAAGGGAAGAAGGATGAGGCCGGACAGCAGCAGAGCGGCGGTGATACCGCGGCGGCGACGCATCTCCTGGAGGACCTGGACCATAATATTGATTCCATCAAGGGCATGTCGGGCCTGTTCTCGGGAGACGAGGAGGCGTTTGCGTTTGCGCGCGCGCTGTCGCGTCTGAGTCACATGGGCAGCAAGGAGTGGGTTGAGCGCGGTATGGGGTTGGAGCAGCAGGGCGGCAAGAAGGAGCGCGACGACTGGGCCAAGGTCCGGAGTCGGCAGATGGAGGACAGCATGTAGAAGCGAGCGTTGTTTTAACGTCAGAGGGAAAGCATTTTACCCCGTTTGCCCGTCCCCTTTTTGACTGGGTTGCTGCCAGCCTTGGGCTGCGTCATGGCTGTAGCTGTTGGGAAAAGGGGGCTCACTTGTTTCTTATATGTTACCCGTCCGGGGTATCTAGGCGGTGGCATGCGCCAACGGCCCCCTTTTCGTCTTTTCATGAGCATTGGGTTCGTTTATGATGCTACGGCAGGACTGCATTTACGGGAAACTCGCATATCTTGGTCGAAAGGTCTATGTATATAAACCAGCCTCGTTCAAGACATGATTCTTCGGCTCAGTCAAGACAACACATCTCGATGATCGGGATTCATTTCAGACTCTCATCATTTGGCCATGCTTGTTCCCAGAAGGCCACCAGCGATTGTATATGTGGGAAAAGTATTATGATTGTACCAACTACGGCAAACTAGTAAATACCGGGAAGCAGAACCCAGGGCACTTCCCTCTTGAAGTCAACCCATTGCTCGCCGTACCGCTTGGAGCAGTACTCATTCAACGCCGGCACGCCGCGCGTGAGGAAGTCCACCGCCTGCCACACGCCCATGATCGTACCCCCGATGAAGCCTGACGCCGCCATGCAGTACCCCGCCCTCCAGAGCGCGTACCCGCCGTAGTTGATGTGCCGCGCCAGCTTCCAGAGCCCGCCGCGCATGACCTTGCCCTTGTTCTCGGGCCGGGCCTTGAACTGCTTGCGCTGCCACTCGGACGCCGTCTCGAGGAACATGCCGACGCCGTAGAGGACGCTTCCCAGGACGACCTGGTAGGGGAGAGAGGTACCCGGGAAGTCGCGCGGGGAAGTCAGGACGGAGGTGGACGCCGCGAGGAGGAGCAGGGAGTTTGCGCTGTTGACGAGGGTGTTGTAGAAGCTCACGCCAACAGCGGAGGACGGCGGGAATTCCTCGGCAGAGATGCCGACGAGCCAGTAGGCTTGTTTGACGAAGGAGCCGACGGACATGCCGAGGAGGATGAGGTGCGGGAGCGGCAGGTGGAGGTCGTCGAGGATGGCGACGCCCGTGGTGGAGAGGGCGGCTACGTTGAGGGGGATGGTGTTGATGCCGATTTTGGCGAGGGCGGCGGCGCCCCAGCCGCCGGCGACGAGCTTGTATTGGAAGAAGGGGTCGAGACCGCGGAGGCCGAGGAAGGTGAGGGTTCCTGGCACATTGGACTTTTTGACGCCGCGCTTGATGAGGTCGAAGTTTGGCTTCTCGGATTTGGAGGCCGCCATCTTAGAAGGCAGCACTCGTTTCGTGCGCGATTGAGCTTAGATGGATGTGGTGCTGGTGTGTGAGATGGCTAGATTCAAGAGATGTCGTCGAGATATATCGTGAGCCTACCTAGCTTGGCTCACAAGGTCGGACGAATGCAGGAGGAACACATGCAGGTCATCTCACTAGGAATGCGCGCCGGCTGCAACCGGCACTTTATACACGCGGCGGGGATGTGCTTGGGGAACCTGCGGTTGCTCCCCTCATGATATCATTTACTGCCTGAGGATGGCAAAGGAACAGGTCCAAGCCCGGCGTCTGTTCGCCCATTAAACGTTGTCGGAAGTTCGGGACAGCACTCCATGTTGTAAGGTAGCGGCTGTCGATGTTTGGTGTTCAGACGAGCTTAAAGAGGTAAGTCGGTACCGGTGTCCGATGAGCACCGAAGCTCCACACGAACGGGACGACGGGCAGGCTTGGAAACGGGTGGTACCGTGTGTGTCTTTTCATGCTGACAAACCCACCAAGCGATCAATTTTGGGCTACGGGTCTAGAGATCTTACGACAGAATTTTCAGCATCTTTTGGGTAAGTAGTCAAGGTATCCTATGAGTGCCTACTAAGTACAGAGAGGCCCCGCGATCCTCCAACGGACCAGACGCCGAGTCCGAGACATTATGGGGCACGTAGACCCGCTCCGACACGCTCCAGCATCCGTCAGCAGTAAGTGCCGGTAGCCCAGTGGGATGCGGAATTGGGCTTCCCCAGGCGCCAACCCAAGTACTTGCGACCACACCCGCTGGAGAACTCGAGATCCCGTCCGCTCTCTCCTAGATAAACCGGCGAGGGCCAGAGTAGTAGTCGGGTCGGAGACGACCGGCGAATGCCTGGTGTTGCATGTATTCCTCTTTGCTTTTTGGCGGGAGGCAATGAAGAATCTCAGGGTGATTGATGGCTAAGCATGATCACAAGGTGCCCGCATTGATTGGCTCGCTGAGCCAAAAGTTGCTCATAAAGGTAAGCCTTAAGGTACCTACCTACCTTGGAGCTTTCCATCGGGTCGCCCGAATACCTTGGGGGTCCGCCTAAAACAGAAGGGTAAAAACCCACGTTGCCTGCAGGAAACACGCTGCGAAACAGCGAGATCGAGTCTTTTAAGGAACCCGTCAACAATGTTATAGCAGTGGCAACTTTACATAACTGTGTGTTGCCAGATGAAGGCGAAGGAAACCGTTCAGTCAGGTACCTACTGGATGGGAGCTGGATGATTAGGTAAGGCATCTCATCTGTTCCGGTCTTACGGACATCCGAGGTACGTACCTAAGGCAAGGTACCCGCTTGCAAGCATTGGTGGCGTGCCAGGCACCCAGGCAACCCGCGGGGAATGTGTGAGGATGGATTCGAGACAGGGGAGCTTGCCGAGCTGTCGCAGACCTGCTGACGCTTAGCTACCTTATCTTATCTAGGCACCTATCAGTGCTGCCGACATGACGCCAGCCATCTTCCCGTCCCCTTCAACAACATCCACCTGAGTACCTTACATACCTCCCACATCATCCCCAGATTGTATCATCACCAACCCTTACTATTCATTCAAGATGAAGGTCGCCAAAGCTTTGCCTCTTGCCGTGCTGGCCCACTCGGTCAGCGCTCGCTTTGTTGCTGAGGAGGAGATCAACCGTGTCCAGCTGTATCCCGCCGGCTCCGAGCCCGAGAAGTACCTCATCGAACTCGCCCCAGGCAACACTCGCTGGGTGACTGAGGAGGAGAAGTGGGAGCTTCGTAGAGTACGATTCCCCTCATCGCCGCTCCTTTTATTTGCAGAAGTGCTGACACGACGCCTCGCAGAACGGAAACCGCTTCTTCGATATCACCGACCACAAGGAATTCGGTGCAAACCGCCTCCACACCAAGACGAAGAAGAGCGTCTTCCCCGAGAAGTGTCGCCTCCAGGACAAGGTTAAGCCTCTCATCAAGGATCTTGACAAGAAGGAGATCCAGACCAACCTGGAGAAGTTCACGAGCTTCCACACCCGCTACTTCAAGTCCGACTACGGCCGCCAGTCTTCCGAATGGCTTCTGGCAAAGCTGAACACCATCATCAAGGACGCTGGTGCCGACAAGCACGTCTACGCCGAGGCCTTCCCCCACACCTGGCAACAGAGCTCCATCATTGTCACCATCCCGGGCAAGTCTAACAGCACCGTCGTCATCGGTGCGCACCAGGATTCCATCAACCTGTGGCTGCCTTCCATTCTCGCCGCGCCCGGTGCCGATGACGATGGCAGTGGTTCCATGACCATTCTCGAGGCTTTCCGCACCCTCCTTAAGTCCAAGGATGTCATTTCTGGCAAGGCTGACAACACCATCGAGTTCCACTGGTACAGCGCCGAGGAGGGCGGTCTGCTTGGTAGCCAGGCCATTTTCTCGTCCTACGAGCAGGATGGACGCGACATCAAGGCCATGCTCCAGCAGGATATGACTGGATTTGTTCAAGGAACGCTCGATGCTGGAAAGCCTGAGAGCGTCGGTGTCATTACCGACTTTGTTGATCCCGGCTTGACCGGCTTCATCAAGAAGGTCATCGTCGAGGTAAGTCAAAATGAATCCCATAGTTGCCGACACGAGTTTGTACTCACATAACTGCAGTACTGCAAGGTTCCCTACGTCGAGACCAAGTGCGGATACGCCTGCTCCGACCATGCCTCTGCAAGCAAGGCTGGCTACCCCTCCGCCTTCGTGATCGAGTCTGCCTTCGAGGACTCTGACAAGCACATTCACAGCACTGATGACAACATTAAGTACTTGTCGTTTGACCACATGCTTGAGCACGCCAAGATGACTCTTGGTCTCGTGTACGAGCTTGGCTTCACCGACTTCGCCGCTCTGGAGAAGCAAGGCCAGGTTTCCGAGGAGTTGTAAACGGCTGGATGAATGATGCATACGCATGATATTAGTTATGATGCCCTACGTATTTTGAATAGATGATGCTTTCATGCGATGAAATTACGTCTCATCACGCTCGCCCATGGAAGTTGCTTATATGATCGAATTGCCCTTTGGCGCTCTTATTTTACGGCCCATTTACGGCAGAGAGGTTACTCCGTAAAGCCGAATAGCGGGCTTTCGAGCAGCTGTTCTGCAATCGCGTGTAGTTATTGTTTGCTACGCAAAGGCGGCCGAATCATCAATAGTACAGTGATGTTCATCCGGAACCTGGAAGGAGGCACCCATAGGCGGATGGCGAGATATCGATATTTGATTAATATCATTTTTCACTGATAAGTCTACACGGAAGTTAATTCTGATACAGGCTGAAATCCTCATTCATTTTATTATCGGATTAGACTCGCTATCTGGATTGTCTAGTGAAGAAGAGCAGCATCACCTTTGCGTCTTGGTGTGCGACAAGCTTACATTTTGCATTCAGTTATACAGTTGATATCCCAGTGAAGGCTTTGGCTCAACGAACCGTCAGCAAGTGGTCCTGGTCGCCCACTGGCGTCTTCTTTTGCGACAGAGAAAGTCAGCACGAATTAAACTCTCAATGACTTGACTTGACACGGTCCCAATAGGCAGGTTGCCATCTCTTGGAGGCTCTGTGGAAAGATGGCTCGACTAAGGTCTCCAGAAAACTTAAGTAGGTACCTGCATAAGTCGCCTGGTTATCTAATCAAATTAGCTCCATGGGCCCCGCCCAAAGATGCCTCTCAACTGCAGTCTTGCCCTCGTTCCTACCTTAAGGTAGACTTGCGAACCTTGGCAGGTAAGGAGGATACTGAAGTGATGTCACTGACGTGCATGCGATGGCAAGTAACCGTTCCATAAAGGTTCTGCTCTGGGGAAGCGACGTTGGAATTGGGATTGGCACATGGTCAGGTTGCTTCCAGGACGTCTCCGATGGGTCTAGGCTTCAGAGTGGGGCGGGTTTGTATGTACAGACGCCCGCCGCACAGGGGGTCTAAGCTCGCTCCGGTCCAGTCTGCCGATTCGACACCTCCCGCAAGCCTGCAACCCAGATTCTGTACTTTCCTACTCCACCTCTCAACTTTACATCAACATCATCCAAACCACCACCGCTTCAGCCAACGTCTTATCCTTTTCGATTTCACTCATAACTGGGCCCGGAACGTTGCTTTGATTCCCATTTCTTCGCTTGATCAACTTTTCGGCAATCTAGCTTTGCTTGTGTGCCAAGACAGTATAAGCAACATACGAACACTGCGAACAAAGGCATCTTGCACTGCTTGCCTCGAGTCAGTGCGTCTTGCACTCCCACAACGAAACACATCTCATTGCCGACTGCTTTTCATTAAACCCCGCATTGGGCATCAGCAAACATGGAGGAACCCCAGGAGCCGAAAGAGCATGCCATCGCCACAGCTCCATATAGCCACAGGCCCCCCAGTCCTCCCTATATACCCATTCCCATGACATTTGCTAAAGGCGACGCTACTTGCGCCTTTACCCCCTCATTCAACAATGTCGATGCCATGCACCTTACGAGCGAGGATCTCAGAATCATAACTCGGGACAAGACACAGACTGCCACAGACAGGTCAGTTGGCTGGAACTACGAGGCTCGACGAAAGGCACAGACGCTCCTGGACTTCCTATATCTCGGTCCGTTATCTGTTGCTCGCGACGAAGCTTGGCTTGCCAAGGAGGGAATCACCATGGTCATTGTTACACGACATGCCAGGGTGGCTCAAGCTCGACTGATGAGTGTCGACAAGGTAGCGCAGAAGCTCGGCATACAAGTCGAATATTTAGACGTCTTGGACAACTCTGAATTGATCCGTGGCTTCCCAGAGGTGGTGAGGAAAATCAATGGGCATCTGATCGACGTGTATCGCAGTCAAGTTGTGGGTGCGCAGGAAGGCCGGATGGCAGTCGATGATGAAAGCTTCAGGAGTGGCAAGATTCTCCTTGTTTGCGAAACAGGAAACGACCGGTCAGCTTTCGTTGCTGCAGCTTACATCATGACCATGTACGGAAAGGATATGATCTCATCCGTGCAATTTGTCTCCATGCAACGATTCTCCGCCAACTTCGACGAGGATGGGAAGAGGATGCTACAAGCATACGAAGACATCCTCAATGCCCAAAGAAGTGTCTCTAGTGTGACCAGAGATGTTCCTCGAGCCGGCCAGTCGCAAGGACACACCGGTGGAGGCGGCAAGCGCGGTATCGAAACGACTCTTGACGACGAGGACAGGCAGGGCGGAGGATATGAGACATTCGCCACGGATCGTGAGCGGTACCAGGACAGGGGCAAATTTGTCCCGTTTCGTGATCGGGATACAGTCGCGTAGGGACGACTCTAGTCGATCGCAGAGACCTGGAGCTGAAGAGATTTGTAGCGGAGGCATTGCATCAGTGATTATGGCGTCAGCAGGAAGACCGCCTTCAGCCGTCATTAGGAGCAGACTCATTATGGGGAATTAGAACTTTGCTTTGGGAACATGGATAGGCGTCAAAGGTGTCAGTCAGTATACCCGTTTCAGTCGGCAACGACTTTCTCTCAGGGCAGTTTAGACCTGCTTTCACCGCTATCAGATTCCAGCATTTACACTATCTCAAATTGTGCCCATTCTAAGATGATTTATTGCGTAGATAGACACGCCCAGTACAAAAGGTCACACATATAATGACTATGGTCTGAATTATTTACGTAATAGACAAGTATGCAGGTCAAATTGGTCTCATGAAACTTTCATATAGATATTATTCACTCATTCTTCTTCTAGGATAGGCCACGGGCTGTTATTGTCATATTCTCAGTGTTTCCTCGGTAGATCACCCATCGAAAGGATGCGAATCATGATATAGAAAGGACCAATTCGCTGTAGTCATCCTCAGTGCAACTACACCATGCCACCGGGGTAGAAATTGACCCCCTGGGCCAGTCAACAAGCCTGCGTGAGGCTATCCCATGGGGAGAGACCGACCTCCGGTGAACCTCAGGTCGCAGGACTCATCTCATCTCACTTCACCCTACACGCAACCCTTCCATGGCAACGAGGAAGGAGCAGCCGCCTCGACAATTTTTTCTTCCGGGCCCCACTGCTCCTTCTTCATACATCCCTCTCACGAACGCGAGATTTCTGGTCCAAACAATCTCACTTGGCTGTCAACAATCCTTCTTTTCACTCTCACACAAGCCCTACTCTCTCACTCTCTCAACCCACACCTCACTTTTCCCACTTACCTCTCACTTTGCCTCATCCGCCATTCCAAATTCATCACACTCACCATCACCACTGAAGTAAGTAGTCGCCGCTGCTCTCCCAATCCACCCCCCATGGGAATATCGCATACTAATACCCATCGAAAGATGGAGGAAGCGGGCGGCCGGAAGCGTGCGCTGCGGCGCTCGACTCAGGCAGTTCAGAGGGGTAGGTACCAGGAGCCATATGCGCTCGGGGTTCAAAGGCCGGCCTGGGTTCACCCAGACCCGGTCTTTGACCCCGGCGCGGCTCGTTGGGCGTCCTTCCCAACCATCCCCCTGGACCAGCGCGGTCCGGGGGATGAGTATGTGGAGGCGAGAGACCGGGGCGAGCTGGACGCCTGGCTGCGAGAGCAGAACCCCTCCCCCGAGCACTTTAGTGACGACGGTAATTACTTCTTACTCCTACTCATCGTATATCCCGCTAATAAGCCGCAGAGGAGAAGGAGGAGGACGAGCGGCCGGAGGGCGTGCGTGAGGCCAAGGGCGAGGACGAGGGCGAGGGGCTCTCGACAAACATGGACTGGGGCAGCCCAGAGCCTGGGGAGGTTGAGCCCATTGCCTGGGCTCACCTCGGCCACGGCGCCCAATGGGTCTTGCTGGAGGTCCTTTGTGACTCCGAGACCTTTGCTTCGGCAACCCGGGCTCTGGGCTTAACCACTCCAGATGTCATTGACTTTGTTGTGGCCTACATCCAGTACCACCGCCTGATCCAGGGGTGGGCAGAGACCTGCGACAAGATGGGCGTCTCTGAGCTCCCCGACCTGATCCATGGCCAAGGGCCATCGAGAGACGTCGTGAATTTCCTGCACCAGCCGGATCTTCCCACTCACACCATCAAGCCCGACGAGTACGAGAGAGCCTGCCAGTACTTGTGCCAAACAGGATTAGGCGAGCACATCCGAGGACTTGAGAAGTGCCGCGGGATCTCAGAGGGCTTCCTCCAGATTCCAATTGAGCGGGAGATTCTGGCCTCCTGCATTGCCATCCTTGAGAAAGGCAAGAATGGTCCAGATGTGCACGAAATCGACAATCCTGGTCATAACGGATCGCAAACTTGGCACGATCAGTACGACGAGAAGTACCATGAGTTGGTGAACAGGGTATTGCAGATTCAAGCATACCTCCCTCCTTTGGATCTGACGAAGGGCAGCCAGGCGAGCACATCGTCTGCGACCAATCCCACAGAGCAGCATGGCACTCCCACTCCAGAGTCAGTGAGTGAGCCTCACAGTGCCGGTCAAGTATACGCTCAGAACAACCCAATGTTTGGCGAGAACAACCAGGTAAGCTCCTTCTTATTCTTTCATCTCATGTCTTCCTTTGCAATTCGTCCGTTGTTCTTGACGTGAACCTCGGTGGCTCTCGCCTTTGAAGTTAAGACGAGAACTGGGCTAACGGTCAGCAGTATGCATGGGTTTTTGATAACTTGGACATGGACGAGCTTTACAATCCCACCGAAGTCCACAAGTATCGCAACCGCCCCGCTGTCTCCTATGAGAGCTTTCAGTCTGCTGCCGATGGCAACCTTGAAGTCACTCAGGCGCAGGAGTATGATCAATATGAGGAGTACCCGCTTCCCGATGATCAAGCACTCAAAGAAGCATCCCACGAGGCTCAAGACAACAATCTGCCGGCCGCCCACTTGTTCCACTTCGAAGAACTCCTGCCCGAGGCAGAGGATCTCATGCCCTGCCCCTTCTTCGCAGAGCCAGAGCCACCCGTGGACCATACTCGCATCTCTACAAACCCGTCTCTCCCCGTATTGCAGACTCATGATGAGGACCAGTTAACTCCACAGAGCGCAAGCTCAGCGGTGCCTCAGCCCTTCATTTCTTATATTGATGAGGTGGACCCCAACAGGAAGCCTTCCGACTCACCTGCCTACGAATATTTCCAGTCAGCTGACTACAAGAAACATCTCTACAGCAACCACCCCGATTGGTTCGTCGACGAGATGTTACTTCCAGTTGTTCGACCGGAGGTGCCCGCTATCCAGGCGACTGCTCACCAGAGTGTTGCTCAGGAGGCCACCCAGCAGGAGAACAATACTGAGGAGGACTCGAATGTCAACTTGAATGCCAACTCCAACGCGAACTCCAACACGAACTCGAAAGCCGCCGCGAACGCCAACCCGAGCGCCACCCCGAACTCCAACTTGAACATGGAGCCTTCGCATCCGACGCCGAGCACCGATACGTCTGGAGCTCCTGGAGTGTCTGAAGTCTCTGAAGCACCTGCGGTCTCTCACGCCCCCAAGCTCTTCGAAGCCCCCGGATTTTCTGCAGTCGCCAATATTCCCCAGAGCTCTACAATCTCTGAGGCTTCGAAGGTATCTAGAGTCCCTGGAAGCTCTAAGGTGTCCGCGGTATCTACAGAGAAAGAGCCTCGCTTCGCATTGAAGGCCCCCATGCCTCCAGTCCAGGAAGAAATCACTTTCTACAACACCCCTGCGGTAGTCGCCAGAGACTCGCGCCCACGCACTGTCATTGACTTGACTGATGAATCTGCGAGACCTATGGCTGCTACTCCAGCGAGACCCGTGGTCGCTCCTCCCTCGAGAAACACCAACACAGCCCGAACTCCGGCTATGCGCATGGATAGTCCCGAAGCTCCATCCACCAAGAGCTCTACCAAGCCATCCCGCAAACGTGCGGCTGATGACAGCGATGGTGACTATGTTCCCAAGCCCAAGAGAGCCCGCCCTGCGAAGAAGGCTGCGGCCGTTCTGCCCCAACCGCAGGTGATGGGTCCTGACGGAGTACTTATACCCGTCAAGCGTGGCCGAGGACGTCCCCGCAAGTATCCCAGACCTGAAAACATCGCTGCCGCGCAAGCTGCTGCTGCTGCTGCGAATCAGGCTGCTGCAAATCAAGCTGCTGCAAACCAAACTGCCACGGACCAGACTGCCACGGACCAGACTGCCACGAACCAAGCTGCTATGAACCGAGCTACCGCGAGCCAAGCTACCGTGAAGCGAGCTACAAACCAGTCGACGACTATGCAGACCCCCGCGAACAGTTCTCCCATTCTGAACGCTGCTACACCTCCGGCGAACAACCCAGTTCCCAGCACCGAGCCAATGCTCCCGCAGGCGGCCAAAGGTGCCGTGCCGAGTCGGAGACGTCGAAACAAACCGAAGACGAACCAGTCTACCGAGAGCAGCCGTCAAGCTAGCGTTGATCAGCCTCACATGCAGAGAATTGCCCAGTATCAGGACAGAATGACCCCAGTCTCTAGATACAGCAATGAGCCTTCGAACTCATATACCGACTTCAGAGCTGACGTTCGTCCAACGACGAGCTACGAGCGTATGCCCGCGTCTTTCGTTACTGAAATGAGACCGTCTGGTACTGACTTGCGTCAATCCTCGCTTCCTGGAGCCTATGAGCCTTTGAGTTCATACGCTACTTTTCCGGCGCCCGAACCCAGAGCTGGTGTCCGTCAACCGACAAGCTACGAGCGCAAGCCTCATCCTGATTCTTTTGGCACACGTTCATCTGCTGCTGAGCCGCGTCAATCGTCGACTCCTAGAGCCTATCAACCTTCGAACTCATACACTGCTATGGAAACTGCACCCACAGAGTATAGTCGTCGTCAGGATGAAATTCAAGAGCGTATGCCCACGGCTTCTGCTTCACGCATGCAGTCGTCAGCTAGTGATCTGCGTCAATCCTCGGTCCCTAGTCCCTATTCGAATCCGAACCCATTCTCTGCTCTAGTGACCGATTTCACAACTCACAGTCGTCAGCCGGGAGGCCAAGAGCGTATGCCCGCGTCGTCAACTTCTACGGTGCAGCCGTTTGCTACTGTCGAGCGTCAGTCATCGCTTCCTGGAGCTTATTCTCGCCCTCCGGCACTTACACCCCATCCCGACATCGAGATCCTAGAGCCCTCCATGCCAGCCATAGCGCCAGATCTGAAACGCTCGTCTTTCCAGCAATCATCGCATACTGCTGCCTCAAACAACTCTTCGAGAAAAGTCGATCTCAAGGCCCCAGGACCTCCTCGCCAGGACAAGCTTGGTAGGTTGTTCCCTCCTCAGTATGAGACATACGAGGAGTTTTGGGTATCGGTGCCCGATGGCGCGGACTATGCCTTGAAGATGGTCGAGAAGGGGTGGCCTTCTGACGTTGCCATGCAGCTTGCCCGAGAGCGCATTGCTATGAACATGGCTTCGTGGCCCAACAGCATCTACTCGCTTCATTACAAGCCGAATGCTCCGCCAACCCCATTCCCGGGCGTTACCGCTAGCATTCGCAGAGAAATTGAAGCTGAGAAGGCCGCCGCCGCTCAGAAGCGCAAAGAAAACGAACAGGCAGACAAGTGATTCGGCCGATGACCTTGCTAGAGAATTCCTACAGCGATCTAGTAGCATCGATGAACATCAAAGTATCAAGAAGCGAAAGGTTGCAAGTCTGGCTCAACGGCAAGAATACATCAATTGCATCGCGGGACATACTCTGCCTACTATAAGGCACCATAAAAGAAAAAAGCACAAAAAAAAAAAAAGAACACCATTACAGCAGAAAAGTTGACCCAAGATGCCAGACACACGACCATCGGGTCTCCTGGTTTGCGAGAACTTTCTTGCTACATCGGCGGTCTTTTCTCTTGCTTCTTTCACTTTTTCAACGGGACGGATTTTGGTCTTCGTTGCATATCGCGCTCCTACTTGGAGAATTTGGTTTCGGTATTGGGGAGGACTCAGGATTCGGGTGGCTTTCTCTTTTGCACATACCTCTATGGATGGCTTGCAGATGACATTGGTTCGGAGGATGATACCCATTTGGAATTCGGGAAGGCTTTCTTGGGGAAAAGGCCCCTTAATTTTGTTAAGATACCCATCGCATCAGTGCGATTTGTTGTGAGTTAGGAAAAAAATCAGGTTGCCCAAAATGAAGTCCACTTTGGTTCGTGATGTAATAACTGCTTCGTAAGATGTCGTTGATCCGGGCCATCAGAAATGCCACCAGTATTATGTAAGTTAGCGCTGAGCTAAGTGAACAGGGGTTAGTGACGGCGAGCTGTGGGTCGACCTTGCATCACCGAGCTTCCCTCACCGAGCGCACGCTCAGCCAAGTTACAGAAGCACTGCCTCCCACTTCCAACCCGCCGATTACCCCAAATCCACATCCTTGGCCGAGCTCCCGTCCCACGCGGCCTAACGACGATCCACTCAGCAACAACGACACCTCTCCGGCCAAGCCTTCAGCATCTCCGGTTCACGAGATCCTCCAAACCTCCGTCGAATTGCTACATCAAGCAGTCTCCTAAGACAAAATCATCTATCTGCGCACCGCAGTTCCCGCCACACGAACGAAGCCCGAGCAAGCTCGCCCGGCCCCCTTCGTCAACCTCCGTCCACCGACGCTCTCCTCCGTGTACACGAACACATCTACACATACCGCACATCATGGCGCCTCCTCGCATCGAAGCACAAGAAATCGAGACGTACTGGAACATCTTCTCCACCCGGACGGGCGGCGGCCAGTTCCTGACGGGAGAACAGGCCGCGCCGGTGCTGAAGAATAGCGGCCTGACGGACAACCAGCTCGAAAGGGTGTGGGATCTCGCCGACGTCGACAATGATGGAAATCTCGACTTTGAGGAGTTTTGCGTTGCCATGAGAGTTATTTTTGATATCCTGAATGGCGTGAGTATACCTTGAGTCGGATGTGCAGCGGAAGAGAGAATGGCGCAGAGTTGCTAATCGCATTCGGATGGGCAGGAATACTCAGATGTCCCAACGACACTCCCCGATTGGCTCGTCCCCGAGTCCAAGGCACATCTCGTCCAGGCGAATCGCGCGCTCACAGGAAGGCAAGTGGCGTTTGAGCAAGTCGACGACGATCCAGACTCCCCAGGGCTGAAGGATGGATTCGACTGGTACATGAGCCCAGCGGACAAGTCAAAGTACGAGTCGATATACCAAGAGAACCGGGACGCACGGGGACAAGTAGCATGTAGGTTCACTTGCGCGGGCCCCTATTCGCCGTGTTACTTTTACTAACAGTGCATTCGTTTCAGTCACTGCTCTCGAGGACCTCTACGAATCCCTCGACGTTCCCGACACCGATATCCGCTCCGCTTGGAACCTCATCAACCCCTCAGCTGGCCAGTCCATCAACAAGGATGCCTGCCTCGCCTTCCTTCACATCCTGAACAACCGCCACGAAGGCTTCCGCATTCCGCGCACCGTCCCCGCCTCCCTCCGGGCCTCATTTGAGCGCAACCAGATCGACTACCAACTAGACAACCAGACCCCCGGCGCCTCCCGATGGGCGACAAAGGCCGACGACTCGACGGCGACGGGCCGCAAGGCCAAGTTTGGCGACCAGTACCTCACCCGCCTGGGCCGCAGCGGCTTCAAGTCCAGCGGAACCGACTTCTCCACGGCCAAGACGGACGACTGGGAGGAGGTCCGCCTCAAGAAGCAGCTGCAGGAGCTGGACGAGAAGATGGCCCGCATCGAGGCCGACGTGGAGCGCAAGAAGGGCGGTAAGCGCGACGGCAAGCCCGCTCTCGTCAAGCGCGAGCTCGAGCAGCTGCTCGACTACAAGCGCAAGGAGCTCAAGGACCTCGAGAGCGGTGCCGGCAAGGGCCAGGGCGGCGGTGGTGGGCTGAAGGGGGTAGCGGATGATTTACAGACGGTCAAGGAGCAGGTTGAGGGTCTCGAGACGCATCTCGCGTCGCGGCAGGGTGTGCTTGACCAGCTGCGGAGGGAGATTGAGGATGAGAAGTCGAGTAGATGAAGATGAGAGCTGGTGGGGGAGGGGGGGGGTGAAGGAGGGAGGGAGAGGAAAATCCAAATTTGACAGCGTCTGTTTCTGGTGCAGGGCGGGCGGCTTGCTTGGGTTATCTTTTATATGTTGTCTTCTTTCGAGGTAGGGATGACGGGCCCGGTCTGATTTGGGTACCCCTTTCTCACGTTCAATTCAGGGAGTTGATCATTCCATCTGGATGCATATTCCACGTGCATGTAAGACTACAATGTTTCCCGGTCCGCTGCTTAGATTGATGAGATGCAGAGGAGGTAGGCGGGGCTTGTAGTTGAAGATTGTGCTTCCAAGAGGTAGAATATAGAAGCTTAGCAAATAATGCATGGGGATTGAAGTAACGGATTACTTTCTCATTATTTTTTGGCGGCCTACTTCTCCTATAGAGGCATTCGGGAGTCATCGGTCCTGGTAAATGATCAGAGCGCAGTTTTCAAGTACAGGAGAGGGGGCTGGGAATGATTGAGGTAATGGCAAGAGTATTGAGACCAGACTAGTAGCCGCTTCTCCGCGAGTTTGTATCAGATTATTTGGATAGAACCGTATAAGTGTAATTACATGAACCAAAACACCAAACACCGAGAAGCCGTGCTTCTGCTTCTGCTTCTGCTTCTGCTTCTGCTTCTGCTTCTGTTTCTGTTTCTAGCTCATCATCACGAGCTTACCACTGGCCGCCGTTGGCATACGGCACGGCCATGGGCAACCCCAGGTTCCGGCTCTTGACGGCCCAGATCATGAGAGAAGGGGCCTTGACCCAGCCGATGCGGCCCGCGCCACGGCTGCGACCCGTGGCGCAGACGTAGACGTCAACGGGCATGCCTTTTACGACGGTTTGGTCTTTGCCTTTGAGTGCGAGTTCAATGTTCTTTACGACGCCAGCGGCCTGGTACGTTTTGGGGAGATGTTAGTCATGTTTAATAAGAGAGAGGGGAAGGTTGTGAGAGAAATAGAGAATAGGGGGGTTGGGGGCGACGAACCTGCTTATCCGTGAGCATGAAGCCCGCCCTCGGAAACGAGACGATATCCCCGCACGCCCAGACGTTCTCGACGCCCTTGACGCGCATGTACTCGTCCACATTTACATACTTGCGCTCGTTCAGCATCCCGGGGTCGAGGTACTCCGTATTCGGCACGAGGCCCATGGTGGGGAGGTACAGATCCGTCCGGATGACCTCGCCGCTCATGAGCTTGACCTCGGTCTTGCCATCCGGCAGCGGGCGCGAATTCGCGACGCGCGCGTGCTTCCGGACCTGCACGCCGAGCCTTGTAATCTCGTTCTGCACAGGTTTCGCGATGGAGTCGCCCGCGAGGATCTCGTCTTCAGCCGCTAAGAGGTGGACCTCTTTGTCCTTGAACTCGAAGCGGATCTCGGCGGCGACTTCTACGCCCGTGGGACCAGCGCCCGCTACGACGATGTGGTTTGCGGACTTGACCTTTTCTGCCGTCGCGTGGAGGAGGCGGAGGGTTTCTTCGTGGGAATTGGAGGATTTCCACGGCATGTCGGGGGAGGCGGCGCGGGCGCCGGTGGCGAGGACGAGGTAGTCATATGGCAGGGACCTGGGGCCGGACGCGGTCGATACGAGGGCGGATTTGCGGGCCACATCGAGGCCCGTGGCGGTGCCGAGGACGAATTCGAAGGATTCCTTGGGGTAGGATGCGAAGCCGGACTCGATGGGCTGGAAGATTTCGTCATCTTTGACGATGCCCGGCACGATGGCGCGGACGGAGCCCATGTTCCAGTAGAAGTGAGTTGTCTGCCATTTTCTTATCAGCCTTTGCGCACGACTTCTTTTCCCTTCCGTTTCATGTTTTTCCAAGGCACTGCCCAACTCCTGTCCTCATGTATCTCATTTTTGCTTCGTCTCCTCTGAACGCTGATGGAGGCAGAGGTGAGATAAGTGTGGGTCGCCTGCAGCTGTCTTACGCCGCCCCCACGGGCCTCCGGAGCTCGGTGACACCCCTAGCTTCTGTAGAGGTCGTCCGATTTCGAGAATCGAGAATTTTCAAGTAGCTTGATGTGTGCCAATTATAGTGTAGAAAATTCCCTCTCACCTTTGAAACCAGAATCACTCTGAGGTCCGGCTCTGTCTGGCGTGTGTGCTTGAGCAGACGATGAGCCACGGCCAGGCCGCCGTACGCGGCGCCGAGAACGACGACAGTCTTGACCATATTGACTATGTCTTATTCCAACTCGTCCTCAAATAGACTCTGAGCTTCTTGATTTGATGAGGTGAGTAATGGACGAATAACTCGCCTTGATGGAGCTAAAAGAGGTTATTAGTCGATTTGTCAAAGTACTGTTTGGTGATGGGCCCGTCGAGGAGCTGCTGGGTATCTTTAGATCAATAGACACCCCTCAACCAGAGCTGCGAGACGACTGCTATTTATTCCCCTCCATAGCTTGCTCGAGCCCGGGATGCATCAAAGCCTGGTGGCATCCTTGCGGCATAGATCCTGTGTCTCCCCATCCTATCTCATGTAAGTCCGGAATGCGCGTCCCCTCACTAAGCTGCGCTAATGCCAACGAAGAACGCGAATTGGTGCCATTAGTACTTTTGGTCCAGGTTTCAGTCTCAAAGTCCGTGCCGTTAGGGTAACACAACATGTGGTTGGTAGGAAGGTAGGTAAGGTCAGACAGAAAAAGCACTTTGGATTGTTCATGTCCGTCACTGGGGTGGGTGGGCCTGTCGATCCCCCGTTGTCCGCTCGGCTTTCCCCACGCCCAGACCACGCATATGACGGATTGCCATTCGACGACGTTGGCACAGTTGGTAGCTGCACAAGCAAACAAAAAAAGAAGAGACGGAAACAAAAGGTTGAGTTTCGACCGGAATCGCTCCATCGATAGTCGGTCCAGGCTCGGGTATGTTGCTGGTGGTGTAGGGCTTGTTGATACCATTTGCCATTTCCAACGATGTTTCCTCGCGGTAAATGTTCTTATTCGCGTCGATAGCTATTCGAGCGAGCCTCAATGCACCTTCTCGAGGCATACTCGTCGGACCCGAGTGTAGCTGTCACTCCCGATTCGTCCAGTTCGGATCAGCCCGTTTGGTGTGACTTTGTCAATGGGAGGCAGACTTTCGTTAGTCAGGGGGGAACAGCGATTCCGAACACCCTCCCGGAGAGAGCCAGCCATCCTTTGGTCGATGTAGTCAAGTTGCCCTCATTCCGCTTAAGGCACGAGCCATGCATCCTATTAATACGGATGTGTGACTGGGAACATTTCAGATGTTGATCCATCATCTCTGCTTGGAGAGACGTGCATCGTTGCAGACGTGCGATATCAAACCTGGGGAGATCAAGCGCTCGGATGTCCTGCTTTGCATCAGGGCGGCTGCTTGGCCAGATGCAAGAGATGGCTGCACCAGGCGGACGGGCAAACAGTTCGTCAGTCCTGCTGAGTGCCGTGAGCACGGTCGAACGGTTAATGTTGACTTCAGAGGCGGCAGGTTAAGGGAAGATGCTAGCTGCTAGCGCCTAGGTAGCTAAGCATTGTACTGGGTGGGGAGCATTTCCACCCGGGCAGAGCAAAGAAACCACCCTCGAAGCCGATGAGGCTGACCTTTTAACCAGGGATAGAGCGAAGGTTCAAAGATGCTCCGAGTAGCTTCGATGACTTGTTCAAGGTAATCTACCTAGGTCAGGCAAGTACTCGAACCCCGGGCCGATGTCACGGAGAAGGCGGCTTGACATTGAGCCGATGCTCCTCCAGGTTGTGGCAATCCACCCGAGTTGCATGTGGCGGTGCAATAGGTCTGAGAGGCACAAGGTGCAACGTACAAGGTGCAAGGGCCGACCCAATGACAGCATCAGCTGCCCCGCGCATATGAGCATATGATGAAGCGGGCGTGTGGGACCTTCCTTGCTAACCCCGCCAAAAGGTCCAACCCTTTCCTCCGCCTCCCAACACTGAGAAGCTCAACAATCCCTTCCCTGGATATATCCTCACTTACTACACAAACCACGCAAACCTCTTTAAACCTTATACCAAAGACCCCCCCTAAAAACAAAACATCATGTCTGCCCCTCAGAGCGAAGCCTTCAAGCAGGCTGTCTCCGATAGCAAGAAGCTTACCTCCAAGCCCGGCAACGACGAGCTTCTCGAGCTCTACGGTGCGTCGCTTCCCACGAGCCCCACCACTGTTACCTCGGCTTCTTTCGTAGCTAACATACCATGATGATGAAAATAGGCCTGTACAAGGTCAGCACTGGCGAGGACATCTCCAGCGCCCCCAAGCCTGGCATGTTCGACCTCAAGGTACGCAAGCACTACCATCTGGGCCGACCCGAGCTCCCCCTAACCGATTCTGGCACGTGATGGAAAGCTGACGTTTGGTTTGCGTGGGTTGCAGGGCAAGGCGAAGCAGAGCGCGTGGCAGAAGGTCGTCGACGACAACCTCACCCCTGAGCAGGCCCAGGAAAAGTACGTCGCCCTCGTCAACTCTCTCAAGGAGAAGTACGGCTACGACGCCAACAAGGAGCCCGAGGCCGTCGGCGCGTAAACGTTACCGCACTCCAACGCACTGCTTCTGACGACCATGAGAAACGACAACGGGTTGATATGGATTAGCAATGGCTTCCTTTTGCTCGAGTACATGCCGAGCAGGAGAGCGAGGATCAATATAATGATACCAACGTCAACAAGAGTCACATGTGAACAAGCGCGCACGGGTGGACTCAGTTTTCCCAAGCACCCCAAGCTCTTCCTAGCCTGTCCGGTTCGTCATAGGCCATCGTCGCCACCCAAGGGATCTCGTCCTTTCCATATGCTTGTAGAGGTAGGTTATAAGGAATTCGCAGGCCGACTACCGCTTCGCCGTCCCCCGCATCGTTTGGTGGCAAGTCTGTTTCGAATGTCCCCACCATGGTCGCTTTGTCTGCGATGAGCGAAGGCCACACAAGCACTCCGACTTCCCACGATGCGATCCTGACTTCCTGCGATGCACTTGCCGTTTCACCCCACGCTTGTTTGGAAATATTGGCAGATGTGACTAGGGCCCAATCTATCGACTTCTCGCCGTACCGAATGTATGTCTTGATGTGAGGTGCTGCCCGTTGTCTGCCGGCTTCTTTTACAACTGAATCATCGCTCAACGCTATGGGATGTTAGTTGTGTATTGATAGGTTGAGACCCGTCACCCTACCTTTGCCATTAGGCGAATTGTTTGCCCAGTGACAGAAGATGGGCCGCAAGTAAGCCAATTGCTTCGCCTGTTGCTGGGATTGAATCTTAGTGTGGATTGATGCTCCTGAAGCATAACCGTCCAAACTTTGCCTAATCTCGTCCGCGGTAGGAAAGATGACCTTGTACGTTGGCCTGGGTGTCGCAAGGGATTTGTTCTTGGATTCGGCTAGGGAGTCGAAGAGGCACCTTTGGAGCCAGCTGTCAGTGGCCCCCAAAGTAGCAATAGACGATATCTGAACCGCAATCTCAGACTTCCCTTCTTGGACCGGAACATTCCGCAGTGCTCTTTTTAGGGCTGGCCATCCCCAGGTTGTCTGCGAAGTGTCGTGAATGGGATGTCGGCCGGGGACGCTAGCAATGAGTGTTGCACGCACACCTAAAAAGTCATATCTGCGCAACTTTTCGACCAAGTCTACGAGGATTGGTCTCCGTGTGTTGTACGCTCTGAGGTAGCTCAGCAGATCGTATTTGAATCTTTCCCCTGTTCCGAAAGAATGTCTACCCGCTGAGTCGTTCTCGTCAACGACCTTTTCGGGAAGTAGTGGCAGAATTGGAGATCTCCAGACAGCATTGGTCATATTCGTCCAGTCCTTGGCGATCATGTTGGCCGTATGTATGATCACTTGGGCTGAGTCGTCATGCCGGACCAACACAATCATTTTCGTGTGGTGAGTGCCAAACATCTCCGCCATGAAAGCCCCGTGTAGCTCAACATTGGGATACGCTCCTGCCTCTTCCTTTTCAACGTCAGCGTTCAGGTCTGTTCAGTGGCTTATACTCGTTATCATCGGCTGACCTGGAGGGCTATGCGATTGGGATCTTCTCTCTTCCAGAAACCGTGAATGACGTGAACTCTGACTAGGTTCCTGGTATCCTCGTCAAAGTGGCTCATGAGAAAGTGAATGTCGTGCAGGAAGTTGAACTCCCAACACTCTGCAATCATAGGATCGCCCAGGATGTCAGCGAGGCCGACGCAGTCGCGGTTGGCAGCCTCTGGGAGATCCCGTATGGTTGTCAGCTGGAACGGCGACTTGATACGCATGCCCGGCTGTTTTCTCTTCATGGGAGGACTTATAGGCCGGTTCAGGGATTCCACATGGTCTGACTGAGTTGTCGGCGGCGGCCCCTCCAAGTCTTCGGCACGTCGCTGTCGTTTGAATGCTCGCTCCATGGCGAAAATGGGATCAATGAGTAATCGTGTACGGCATTTCCAAGGGGGATAAAGTTTGTTCCAGGGGAGCGAGATTACTCGAGACGGGGTTGGTGGCTGGGACTTTATGAGGTGGACGGATGGAAGGAGCGAGATGTGCCAAATCGTTGTTCTAGGCAGGTGGCTCCGGCTTAGATCCGTTTAGGCACACAACCGCGGCGTGCTTAGCCCTTGCGGTTACTTCTGTACCCAAAAAAACCATGAAATAAGCCAAAACTTCTTGGACTGGATTTATAGTCAAACAATTGAGTTGCGTATATTGGTATATAGCTAAGAACACCTATCTATGCATTGTTCTGGCAATTCTCAAAGCCACCCGTTGTCTTTATTGCAGCACTCGAAGCTAGTCTAGCAGGGTAGTGACGTTATTGCTTTCGAAGTGCATTTACTGTATCTCGGTTTACTGCCTTGTAAGTGTACTCCAAGCCTACTTGTTCATCTCTCATAAAAATGCCATGGATTTCCGCTAATTCGCAACTGAATTGAAATGATGGCTCCAGCAATGTATCAAGCATGGCCTCTCTCCTGGCCTCTCTCCTGGCCTCAAGCTTCCTGGCCCGCGATGTGATAGGTTGAGCTCTTGCCTGCAAGCACCTACAGTGCCTCCGCCGTATTGATCCCATTTGGGCCGGCTTCACTTTTTCAAAGAAGATGGTTCGTCGAACCTTTTCAGCTGATATGCGGGCCGGCTGAATAGGCTTGGCATCCTTCCCAATCACGCCCTACTTCAAGTTTGGCGGTGCATCCAGCCTTTCTCTTTCGTCCCCTCTAGCG